AGGTAGAATCTTTTACCTATTGTCCAGCCCTCTCTACTTAAGGTTTACTTATGGTTCCATCTGTTTGAGGGCATGGTATTGTTGAGTTAGGACTAAGGCTTGAATTATTGTTGGTGAATGTAGGGCCCAAAGGTTAGGAGGCCCATAAGAGTAGAGACTAGTGTAGCGAACCAGGGGGATTTGTTAAACCAACCCTCATACCAGTATTGTTGGGATTTAAATTTTTTTCTGACGAACAGTGAGCCTCTCCTTGAGTTTATCCAGAGTTTTGGTTACTACCCCAGTCTTGTCTGCATAAAAACAACATTCCTCTTTGAGAGTGGCACATATGTCTCTCCCTCTTATACTGTTTTCTATGTAAGGGAATTTTTTTTTTCTTTTGACTTTGCATCTCAACCAGGGGAAAGAGGGCGATGTATTCCTTTCCATGCTACTTCTTGCTGACTTTGGGACGAAGTTAGGGGACCCAAGAAGGCTGAAATGCAAGTCAAAAGCAAAAAGGGAATTTAGGCAATGAGGTATCTATCCAGGAGCAGCTGATTGGCAGACTGTGTTGAAGAGACAGGGGGTGTCCACATCAGCTGAACTGGTTCACATCCACAGCAAGTCTAGGGCTCGCAGTCTTTAGGAGCAGGCTATGGTCAGCAACTGATGTTCAGATGTGTTTGCCAGAAGTGGAAACCTGTTTAAGACATGTTTAAAACTGCGAACAGAAGTTAAAACTTATGTATTTAATTGGAACTCCTTAGACCCATAGTATTAGTGATCAGGAAGGTCAGGAATCCCATGACCAGGAGAGAAAATCTCATTCTCGGGAACAGACAGGTGGGATAACTGGCTGTACTTATCTGGAGTCCTCTTTGACCTGTGAGAAGTGGATCCAAGCTGTATGACTTTTGATCCTCTGAAGCCTATATAAATTTTGTTATACAAAAGGACATAAAGGTTATAGGTACAGTAGCATTATCAATTGGTACTGAAATCTACATTGTAGAAAAAGCAGATATCTGGGTATCTGTATTTTGTCCTAGCAGAAACTATAGATTTGGGCTAGTAGTGTACATTTGTCTTCTGTCCAGGGAGCCAAGTATGAATTGGACAGAGGTATCTATGGCATGATGAAAAGCCCTTTATATTTATACTTAGATGACAACCAAAATAAACTTGAAAACCTTGAGCTTATGACTGAACAAGTATTTACATCCTTTGATCCTTATTGAGACATATTAAGGCTTGATTTTTACATAAATAAAACGAGTTATCAACCTGACTATAGTCTTGTGGATTTGACTGCCTAATGCCAAGCTGACAACAATTAATACTTTTAGAGATCCGAGAAGGATAAATTTTATACAGTCTTTGAATCTATTAAAAAGTGCCAGGTACCAGTCCATATACAGCCATACCCAAGTCTCCTCTATTAGCACTGGAGGCACAAGTATCAGGAACAGCATCAATCTCTACCAGGCCTGTAAGGTGAGTTTTCTTTCTCTCTGTGGAAGAGGGACATGGAAAAGACTGACCTTGTTTTGTCTCGGCAAAAGGGGTGCAATCAATTTTCCAGTGTCCAGCAGCTTTGTCCACATTCTGGGCCAGGTCCTGGCAGCAGCAGGTGTCACCTTTGAGCATCTTGCTCACTGGTCAGAGTCAACACAATCCAGGTGTAGGGACCAGGGTGCCTTGTAATCTTCTTTGGAGACTTTGGGTCACTGTTAGGATCTGGAAGTCTGTCTGATATTATAAACTTTTAAATTAATATTTTAAATTCCATGTTCTGCAGATCTCTGAAGTATTAGAGGTTTGTCTGCCTTAAGCTTAACTGTTGAAAGTATAAACTTTATTAACCTTTATAAAACTAGAACTATATATTGTTAGGTCTAGCTTTAAACATTTTAACAGTATAAATATCTTATAACCTTATAAATTGAAAACATTTTAAAAACTTCTGAAATCCCTTAATGTTTTTATTTAGGCCTTTAAAACCATTATTATCTGGGTGACTGTTAAATTATAAAACTTAGTATTCCTGTGTATAAAAGCATTAACATTTTAAATCTGAATAAAAACTTGAATAAAACTTAGATTATGACAGAAAATACAGATAGAACTTTTTAACAAAAAAAAGCATACATAATTTTTGAGAGATTAATTTTTAAAATTTAGCATTTGTAGAAATGAAACATCATAGTAAACAGCTTACATTTTTTTTCTCTTGTAGTTATAACTTTAAAGCCATTTAGTTTCTGTGGAAAGACCGGATCTGGCCAAATGGCTTACCTGCTCCAGCCCTGTGTGTTTGAGCAGGGAGCTCTGGTGGAGGGAAAAGCTGGCAGATGGCTCCTTTGCCAGCACGCCATGTGCATGGGGCAGAGAGACAGAAAGAGAGAGAGACCCCATCCTCACATCCTGCACACCTCAAAGGCAGGCAGGTGAGGACGGAGCAGGCTCAGCTGTGAGGGCTGCAGGAGCAGTTGGAGAACAGAGCAGCTGCCTCACTGCATGCTCAGGGATAGGAGACCCTGCTGCAGCATGCTCTATACCATGGCACATGGCGGGGAGACTTTTGCCCAGCATGCCATGTGTTTAGGGCAGCAAGAGAAGACCCCTGTGTATAGGCGGGCAAGAACAGAGACAGAGGGACACAATGGGCCAGTGACTAGCTAGGCTTGGCCAAAGTCCTCAGCCACAGGACCAACTTATAAAAAGAAGTGTTTAGTTACTGAACCTGGTGCATATTAGATACTCAACCAATTGTACACACACATAAAAAATTGGCATGCAACAGCTGTCTTAATGTGAAAGTCACCTTATCAACAGGGTTGAAAAATTATTTATCCTGAACATGAAAACCTATTAGCAAATTTAAATTAACTTTACAAAACTTGTTACTTGTAGTTTTCCCCTTGTAATATTTCTATGAGAACTGCATCATCTAGGAGTAGATGATGATCTGGAGCTGGGACAGGGACCAAGGGTGAAGAAGGGGGTAGGGGAGGAGCTGACAGTTTTCTCCGAGACTGCCTTCAGAGGAGGTCTTTCACATCTATACATAATTTTACTTTGCTCTTTTTAATCTTCATCTTCCATAGTCCTTCTCCTGTACTTCCTGACTTCTTTTGCTTGATTCTTACCTCTTTTACATAAAATGTGGACCCCCCCCCTGCCCTTTATGTCAATTTTTAAAAACTGGCTTCCACTACTTTATAATCTTTTTCCTATTTATAGATTGGCCACCCTCCTGTCTTTCTGTATAGGGTTAAGTTTGTTTGTTTATTGCTTTCTTTATTTGTTGTATCAAAGGCTAAACTGCTTCAAATGTCCTTATCTTGTCTCTTCTGTCTTTGTGTTTGCCCAGACTCATTGAAGGAAGGTCTGAGGCCCAAGGTTTTTTTTCAGCAGCAGTTACTATGAAGGCACACTTGTTGTATAATTATAAATATGAAGGGAGAAGAAGCTTGTCAGTTGGTACCAGGGTTTAAGGTCCTCAATTGAATATTTTCCCACCATTATTGAAAACTAGAGGGGCACAATGAGGAATGTATTTTTTCTTCCAGATCTGTGAAGCCTTAATAAAACTATGATGTGGAGAAAATAGATTTTAGGACCAGGCAGGATTTGTGGAGGACATACTCAGCAATAGTTTGAATTACCAATTGATGGTTGTTAAGATAGGAATGGTAGCTTTCAGTCATTTTACATTTTGGAGCAGAAACCATAGTTCTAATCACTTTTTTTAGAACTCTAATGTATAAACTCTCATTTTAAATTTTATCTCTATTTAATATTCAGAACTTTGAGATCCATTCATGCTTTTTTTTAAAAGTAATTTTCTTGAATCTATTTCCCTCTTTACTGAGTTTTCAGTATGTCTGACAAAGTTTTCCTTCTGTGGTACTTAAGTTATAATGACATAAAGTACCCTAATATTTAAGAACAGCTTGACTGACTATATGCTTGGAAACAGCACTCAGCCTGTAAGAACAGCGCTCAGATGAAGGTCTAGAGCATTTCCAACACCCCTTTTCCTTTTACCCTTCAAAGTTAACTGAAAACTGCCAGACTTACGGCATAGTCACATCATTTTACACTTCAGTAATAGATGCAATTTCCAGGAGCTATACATTCTCCTAACATGGTCGTTATTTTTTAAATACTGCATTTTGATGAGTAAATGAATACTGATAGTTTAACAATTTGGAACTCCATGTCTAGACCTTTGATGGGTTGATTTTCTGGGTCTGAATGCTAGATAATTGTATCAATGCTTCCTTCATTTATTAAGGATATATACAATCTTTTACTGGTAGCTTGTGTTTAGATACATCTCTTTTCTTAATACTGAAGGCATTTTTCATCAGATAACATCAGAATTTTCCTTCTACATTTCCATTAAGTTATTTTGGCAGCAGATTTTCTTCTTGCTTGAAATATTTGCATTCTCCTCATGTAATATGTTAATACAAACATTCTGAGGAGACCTCTTATTTAAAACAATTTGTTTTTATTTTACATTTATTTGTGTGCAAGGGAGGCACATGTTTTAGTCACAGGACAATACTGTTGTAAGAATTGTTTTTCCTTCTACCATGTGGTTCCTGGGGATAAAACTCAGGTTATTAGGTTTGGCAGCAAGCAGCTTTACCCCAGGTATCTCACTGGTGTGAGACCTCTCTTTTATGTTAACATTCATTTTTTTCTTAAATAGAATTTTTATGTTTTGGCTAGCAGTCTGACTTTAAAGGTAATATTATATTTATGTACATACCTGTATTTCTTTTTGACAAGTTCAGATTTTAGGCTCATATAATAAAATGTGGAAATAACCCTTGAAGTTACTATTTATGGCTATCTGAAGTATTTTCTTAATATTCATTATAATTTCTTTAGATGTGTGTCACTAATAAAACAGTAAAATTCAGTTTAGGAAATAAGTATGTTGTTCTGTAATGTAGAGCCTGAAATTGTAATTGTCATGTTTTTACTTTTGTTTTCTGTTTAAGGCAATCCTTTATCACAGGATATTATGAGCTTATACCAGGACCCAGATGGAACCCGAAAGCTACTGAACTTCATGCTTGACAATCTTGCAGGTAACTCTTTTCCTTCCTTCCTTCCTTCCTTCCTTCCTTCCTTCCTTCCTTCCTTCCTTCCTTCCTTCCTTCCTCCCTCCCTCCCTCCCTCCCTCCCTCCCTCCCTCCCTCTCTCCCTTCCTTCCTTCAAGCAGGGGAGGAGGGTGTTTCGAGACAGGGTTTCTTTGTAGCTTTTGGAACCTGCCCAGGAACTTATTTTGTAGATCAGGCTGGCCTCGAACACAAAGAGATCCACCTGTCTATGCCTCCTGAGTGCTGGAATTAAAGACATATGCCACTACTGCCCAGCTCCTTGCAGATAACTGTTAATGGCAAAGCAGGGAACTCGAGATGTTATCAGCTGATATATTACAAATAGCTTTCTGCTGTAGATTTAGAATTTTTGCCTTATGCTGGTAGGACTTTTTTTTCAGTGTATGAGTAGTTTCAGTTTACCAAACAATGTGATAAGGCTTAGTTACACTTCTTATAGGAAGTTTTACACTTTAAAATGATTATTATTAGTATTATTACTGTTACTGCTACTACTACTACTACTACTAAGCTGAGACCGCTATAGAGGCTTACTATGTAGCCCTGGCTAGTCTGGTCATAATGTAGATCAAGCTGACCTCAAATTCCCAAGAGATCCATTTGCCTCTGCGTGTGTCTCCTGAGCATTGGAATTAAATAATGAGATCATTATATATGCCACATATTGGGAGGTGTCAAAGGAGGCCAGAATAGGATGTCAGATTCCCTGGAGTTGATTGTAGTTGTGAGCTATCTGTTATTAAATGCTAGACACAAAACTTAGGTCATTTGGAAGAGCAGCAAGTGCTTTTAACTGCAAAACCATCTCTCCATCCCCAGGATATTTCTGTTTCATAGGTACACATTGAGGTAGAAATGGCTAGTAATTACAAGGCTGTGAACTTGATGATTGTCTTACTCTTAATCACTAAGATAAGTAGTTACTACTGACCTAAATTTGGTAAGATGACCTGCAACCCTGTTTACATCTTTTTAATGGAAAAGATGGAAAAGATTGTTATCAATAGTGCCTCAACATCCCCCCCAAGGAGAGCCTCACCCTCCCTGGGGAATGATGTGGGGATTGGGTAGGGGGATGGGGGAGCTTGTGGAGGGACAAGGGAGGAGGGATGGGAGAGGGAGCTGGGATTGACATGTGAAGCATTCATGTTTCTAATTTAAATAAAAACATCTATTGAGGGAAAAAATAGTGCCTCAACAAGGTGTTTTTGACTTTTTGTAAATGTTTACCCATGAAATAATTCTGTCACTTTTAGTATAGTGTTCAGTAAATTTAATGAGATAGTCAGTACTTTATTATACAATTGGCTTTCTGTAGGTAATTTTCCCAACTATAAGATAACTGAAGTATTCTATCTATGTTTAGATAGCCTAGGCTAAGGCATGATGCAGGTTGAGTGTTTAAATACTCTTTTGATTTAGTCTATGGGTCTAATTGAAACATAGTTTCATTATAAATAAAGGCTTGTCTGTAGTTGGACTTGTACATTTGTAGAAAATTTGCAGGCAGTCTTCAGAATTACAGGGCAATGAATTGGTTGTATTCCATATGCACATTTTTCTTACATAAGAAGGCTATTCTGTATATTATATCCTTTTATTGGCTTGCTTAAGCATTCAAAGTGTGGGTATAAGTGTGATAGATTATATTTAATTTACATACCGTTTCTTCAAGTAATGTCTTTCTAAAAATACATATTTTGGTTGTGTGTATATGTGTTGTTTAATGTATATGTGTGCTTCAGGAACATGAGTGTATGGTTATGAATGCCTATGTGTATACATGTTTGGTGAGTTATCTTTATTACTTCCCCTTTATTGATTATCTGGAAACAGGGTCAATCACTGTACCAGAGATGATTTTTTCAGTGTGGCTGGCTGGCCAACAGACTCTTGGGATATGCCTACCTTTGCCCCCTATTACTAGTGTTTACAGATAATGCCCCACTTTTTATGTCGTTCTGGGGGTTTGAATTTAGGCCTTCATACTTATAGAACATGCACTCTTACATATTGAGCCATCTTCCTGGTCTGCACACACAATATTTAGCTATTTGACAGAGTCTCACTGAGCTGTCTTCCTGGCTCCTTCACAAAAATTTATTTATTTATATTTCACGGGTTTCACTATAGCCTTAGCTGGTGTAGAACTCAAATATCCACTTGTTTGAATCTCCCAGATGCTGAAATTGAAGGCCTATACTTTCTACACCTATCAAAAAGTTTTATTTGTTGTGTGTAGGGCCATGTGTACTATAGCACACATGGAAAGGTTGGAGGAGGTCATTTGTGCTATAGCACACATGTGAAGTGAGAGGTCAGAGGATAGCTTTCTGTAGTCACTTTTCTGCCCTTTATCCACTGAACCATTTCTCTTACCCCTATATAATTTGTAAACAGAGCTAAAGAAATTGTGAGTTTCCTCATAGAGGTCATTGTTAATATTTCAGCTATACTCTTAAAATGAGCTTTATCACCAAAGATAATATACAGAATATAAGATTTCTAATAAAAAGGAAAAACAGTTAATATTAAAGTACTTTTTGCTCAAAGTGACTTGAATTTGAATGATTGAAGACAAAATTATTTTCAGAATCTTTTAAGTGAGAAATTAAGAATGGTTTGAACCCATGTGGATTGTCCTGTGTGTGCTTCTACAGTGTCTGTGAGTTCCTATGTATACCATCAGTCCCATTGTGTCTGGAGACCTGTAGATAGATAATGTGCAGAGAGCACGAGACTTGGACACTCAGTCCTGAGAGGAGTGTCTCTATCATAACCCTCCCCTGAGATTCTCGGATGTCTACAGAAGAGGATCCTTAGTGAAAAAGTTTTAAGAGCCAGAGGTGGTGATAATTCCAATTTTTTTTTTAACTAAAAAAAAAAAACCAAACCAAAACAATGAAATGCCAATGTGTATGCAATGGTTTTCAGCCTTTCTGTTCTCCTAGTTTTTAGGTAACCTAACAGTGTGGTGATAGTAGTATAGAGGAAAACTTCCCCCTTGATGTGATTATATTTGAGTCTGTGGATTTGTTTTTTGTTTTTTGGTTTTTGTTTTTGTTAACCATTTTCACAATGCAGTGATAGGTGCTGGAGTGGTGACTCAGCTATTGAAAGCACTGGTTGCTCTTCCAGAGGACTCAGGTTCAATTTCCAGCACCCACATGAAAGCTCACAACTTCCTGCAGCTGCAGTTCCAGGGGATCTGACATCTTTCTTCTGTGGCACCAGGCACACATGTGGTGGTGCATAGACATACATGCAGGCAAAACACCGCCACACATAAAATCATAAAATCACTTTTTAAGGAATGTAGTGTTTAGGATTATATTGAATCTAGAGAATACTTTGGAAGAATTGACGTGTGGACCATACCATGTTTTTTTTTTTTTTTTACTTCATTAATTGGGGCCTTCTAGAATTTTAGCTTTGAATTCTATTTTCTAATTTTGACTTTATTTTGTTTTTATAGTTCAGTAAAGCTTGGTGTTTTAATACTCATTGCTGATTTGTGGAATTTACACACACACACTTTTTAATACTCAGTCACATTACTTGAAAGTTGGTAAAATATTCCTTGTTAGACTATTTGATAGTTTGATGAGCTTGCTTTTTATTACTAATAAATTTTTATTTCAGTTTTGTGCAGTGTTTATCTGCCAACAGTTACGATTTCATTATTTTTTCCTAATGCTTATACATTTTATTTCTTTTTCTTCATTTATAGTATTTGCAAAGACTACCCAGGAAAAAGCTAATTGAAAGTGGTGATACTGATTATCACTGTCAAATATGACTTAACTTTTAATAATCTAGAATTAAGTATGATACTCATTTTAACTTTTATATAGATAAGCTTTATTAAGACTTTTCTACTTGGTTTTTTTATTGAGTTGATGTTATTTTTTTTTAATCCTGATACTTGACTGAGATACACTTATTTATTTACTAATTTTTTTGTTTTTCGGGACAAGGTTTCTCTGTGTAGTCCTGACTGTCCTAGAACTCTCTATATATTATCAGGCTGGCTTTAAACTCAGAGATCTGCTTGCCTCTGTCTCCTGAGTGCTGTAATTAAAGGTGTGCATCACCACTGAATTCACATATTATCCATTGTGCCGTAGTTTTTTATTTAACTTTAGGTGCTTTTTATATATTATGCCATATTTGTATTCCCTGGATACAAATCAAGTAGATTGCAAAGTATTTTAATTATTTTTATATCACTAGGTTTAATTTATTAATACTTTTCTTAGAGTTGTTTGCATTTATGTTTGAGTTAGAATTGCCAGCAACTCTTTTCTTCATTGTTGTCAAGTTTTATTTTATGAGAATATAGTGATTTCATGAAGTTTGTTGAGAATTGTATTTGGGAGAGTTTTGTTGTTGTTATATATATCTAGGTCTGAAGTTTCTTTGCAAGAAGTTTAATACTACTGCTTTAATTTATGTGTATTTGCCTTTATGTATGTATTTGTACTACCTGTTTGCAGTGCCTGCAGAGGTCAGAAGAAGCCATTGGGTCCCCTAGAATTGGATTTACAGATGTTTGTGAGCTGCTGGGGTACTGGGAATCAGAACTTGGTTCTCTGCAAGAGAAATAAATGTTCTTAGCTGCTGAACCATCTCTCTATCTAGAAACATGGCTGACACCAGATATCAAAGATATTCGATGCTATATGGAAAACAATATATTTATTTACCAGAGAGAGAGAGTCGCACAAACCAGGAGTTAGAAGCGTGGCTGGCTTCCAGGAGAAAAGGGAGGTTCCTTTTCCTTTCACTTCCTTTTATATCTACCTGTGTCAGTTTACATGTCCCCGCCCTCATGGGCGGATAGCTTTGTGGGGTTCACTCCTACACATGGCAGTTACCATCTGAGACATACATGCTGGCACTGGCCACCAATTGGTTAATGGTTTAATTTTCTTAACTAATTATTTCTTTGCTTTTGAAAGTAGTGTTATCTGAAAATGATCACATTTTATATAACTCTTCAATCCTTTTTCACAAAGGAGTTTGGAATATGTTTTTATGTCGTATTTAATGTCCATAGGATATATAATGATAATTTTTCTATGTGAGATACTAATATTTGCTGTTTTAGTTTACTTTGTAGATAGTCTTGCTCCTGGATATTTGTCAGTTTTTTTCTAGGGGGAGTAAAACCTAATTTTTGGCTTTATTGATCCCCTTTATTACACGTTTGTTTCATGTTTCATTAATTTCTTAACTTTATTTCTTCAGTTCTGCTTTTTTGTGTTTTATTTGCTGTTCTTTTTCTAACAACATGAAATCTGGGTCAATAATACCCATTTATGTCTCTCAGTATAGCTTTTAAATGTGTTCCATGGACTTCCATTTGTATTATTTTTATTATTACCCAATTCGGCACATTTTTAAAACCTTTTTTAAAAATTTATTTAATCTTTTATGTGCATTGGCATCAGACCCCCTGGAACTGGAGTTACATGACAGTTGTGATCTGCCATGTTGGTTCTGGGAATTGAACCTCAGTCCTAGAAGAGCTGCCAGTGCTGTTAACCACTGGGCCATCTCCCCAACCCCTCAGCTTTTACTATTATTATCCCTGTTTACCCTGTGAATTGCTTAGAATTTTATTTCTTAATTTCCACGAGAGTTCAAACTAGATTTTTAGCTTAATTCTATGGTTCTGTGGTTAGAGAACATACTCTTTTATTAAAAATTTTAAAACGTGAGCTAGCACATTCTTAATTTTTTAGGTGTTAAGTGTGCACTCTGAATATGCCTGTGTAGTTGTTTGATTCAGAATTTTATATCTAAGAGTTTATGTTTGTTGGCTTATTTCTGTATGATAAATGTATATTTAATAACCACTTTGATTTTATTCGTTATTCATTAGACAGCTAAAATTGCATTTGCCTGTTTCCTATTATTTCAAATATTTAATTCTGTGTGTTAAGCATGCAGTTTCATTCTTAATCTTTTTTGTGTCTTTCTAACTTACTGTTTCCTCTGCTTGGTTTAGATTTATTTTTTTCAGAGGTAGTAACTTAAATTATAATGAAAATCTTTCCTCTTTTAACATAAGTATGTCTGTGTTACTTTTCATTTTCAACCAGATCAATGTATTTTATATTTTTGGTGATTTCATCTTTGATCAGTGAAGTATTTAGAAGTGTATTGCTTAATATACAAGTGTGGTAGTTTTCCTGTTTTGTTGATTTCTTGTTTAATTATGTATAGGAACAATCAGATAACATACTTAAGGCTTACCCTAGTTTTTAGAAAAATGTTAATTTATCTATGATCCAAGGCATTGGTTGTCAAAGGTCATAGTGTGTATTCCATGGACTGTTGAAAAGCCTTCATATTATATAATTGGTGAACAGTATAAAAATGTAAAAAAAGAACATGTTGGTTGTTGGTACTCAAAATTCCTCTTATTTTTTCTAATTTCCTATCTGGTAATCCTATCAAATGAAAACATGGAGGAGTTTAAAATCCTGAGCTGTAATTATGCATTTGTTTATCTCCTTGTTCATCTGTCAGCTTTTGCTTCTGCTATATTTTTCAAGCTTTATTTCTATTTTATGTGTATGATTCAGAGTTTGCCTGCATGTATATATGTGTACTATGAGCATGCCTGGTGCTTGAGGAGGCTAGAAGAGGGCATCTGATACCCTGAAACTAGACTTACAGATGGTTGTGACATATTGTTTGGGTTTCAGGAACTGAACTCAGTTTTCTGTGCAAGTGCACTAAATAATTGTAACTGCTGCGCTGTATTTGCAGCCCGTTTATGGAATTTTAGCTCTGTTGATTGTGACATACATGTGTAGGGTTGTTAGATATAGTTTAATGGTTTGATCATTTCATTATGTAATAACCCTCTATGTTCTATTTTTTTTTGTCCTGGTAACTTCTTTATTAGATATTAACATAGCCATTCTTGCTTTTTGAAAAGTTATTTAATATTCTATATTGTATTTGAAGGATATGTTGAATAGTTGAGTCATACTTTGTATTCACCCCACTAAAAATTTTTTTTAAATATTTTATTTATTTATTGTGCTGTATACAGTCTTCTGCCTACAGGCCAGTGGAGGGCACCAGATCTCTTTACAGATGCTTGTAAGCCACCATGTGGTTGCTGGGAATTGAACTCAGGACCTCTGGAAGAATAATCAGTGCTCTTAACCTCTGAGCCATCTCTCCAGCCCCCCACCCCACTAAAATTTTATTGTGACTTTTTTTTTTTTTTGGTTTTTACAAGACAGGGTTTCTCTGTATTGTTTTGGAGGCTTTTGGTCCAGCCTGGCCTCGAACTCACAGAGATCCGCCTGCCTCTGTCTCCCGAGTGCTAGGATTAAAGGCGTGCGCCACCACCGCCCGGCTTATTGTGACTTTTAACTTACTTTAACTAAAGTCTAGGTAGCCATACTTCATACCATAATATTTATAATTTTTTCTTTGACCATCAAATACAATTTAAGAAGTGAAAATGAAATGGGTAATGTTAATGCTCCTAATTTTATTCATTTCTTCTTTTTGATGTTATTTTTCCTTCCCTTATATTTTGCTTTCTGTTTTGAGAGCTTCTTTAGCAGTGGCCATTCTCTAAGTGTTAAGTGATCAATTTTTCTAGTTTTCCATTACATAACTCAACCTTTATTTCCTCACGATCTTCCTCTACTAATCTCAGGCTCACAGTAGTTTGCGGTGTTTAGGACTACATGCATGCACTCATGCCTGACTCCTTGATTTCCAAAGGATAATTTTGCTGCATATGTAATTTTCACTTGGCAGTTCTTTTCATGTAGCTTCCTTAGGCTTCCAGTGTAATTTAAATTGGTGTTTTTCTATAGGTAATCTGTTAGGACTTTGATGTTTCTGAAAAACTTCAGAAGTTTAGTTAGAATCTATCTTGGTGTAGATTTCTTTCTTTTTCTTTTATTTTTTGTGACGGGTTCCCTGTTATCCCTGGCTCTGCTGGAACTCACTCTCTAGGCCAGGCTGGTCTCAAACTCACAGAAATCCCCCTGCCTCTGCCTTCCAAATGCTGGGATTAAGGACATGAGTCACCAGTGCCTAGCATATTTTCTCATTTTAAAAGTCTCTCTCTTTCTCCCCCCCGCCCTCCCTTCCTCCCTCCCTCCCTCCCTCCCTCCCTCCCCCCTTCTCCCTCCCTCCCCCTTCTCCCTCCCTCCCTCCCAGCCTCCCTCCCTCCCTCCCTCCCTCCCTCCCTTCTAAAAGTCAATGATTTTTGTCTTTTGTAATTTGTACACTGTGTCGTCTTAGTAGTCTCAGTTCTGGTTCAACAAGGTGGGCTTAAAAAGTTCTTACTACTTGAGTGTATAGGTTGCTTCTCGGAAAATGGTCCTATTTCAGGTATATAGCACAGCATCATAAATAATTGTCTTTGTCTTGGAGGCCGTGTGATTTTAGAGGGCTATATTTTCTTGGAGTCCAAGATGATTGCAAGTTTAGGGTAAATTATGGAGATCTTTTGAGAACTTTGGGATAGGACATTACCTTAAAGTGACAGTGGAGTACCTCAACTACTCTTAGCATTGTGTCCTTGGCTTTGAAGAGGTTGCGCTAGCTGCTCTTGAATTGTACTGACATTATAAAGCAGTGGAAGAAAGAATGGGTAGTGAAACCCTCATTAGGAAATCTAATTTTTTTTTGTACATCCATTTTCTTTTTCTGTTTTAAGATTTACCAGAATGTTAAATTTTCCACATAGCTTTGATTTTGCAGATTGGAACAAAGCTAAGTCACTATAGCCGGTATACCTATGTAATTAAATTTTTGTTTAAGGCTTTAAATTTAAGGCACTTTTCATAAAATCACACATTCAGAAATACCATTTGAGTTTCTTTTGGTTTTTCAAGACAGGGTTTCTCAGTAGTTATAGAGCCTGTCCTGAAACTTGCTCTGTAGACCAGGCTGGCCTGAAGATCTACCTGCCTCTACTTCCTGAGTACTGGGATTAAAAACATGCACCACTACTTCCCAGCCCATTAATGAGTTTCTTAATGTCCCTTTCTGATGCTAGTTGTTTTTTTTGAAGATGTATTTATTTATTATATATACAGTATTCTGCCTGCATTCATATTTGCATGCCAAAAGAGGGTGCCAGATCTCATTGCAGATGGTTGTGAGCCACCATGTGGTTGCTGGGAATTGAACTCAGGTCCCCTGGAAGAGTAGTAAGTGCTCTTAACCTCTGAGCCATCTCTCCAGCCCCTGATACTAGTTTATGTTCTCTGCATAGCTGTTTTTAGAAAGTTAACTAAATTACTTTCTTTTTTTGTGTTTGTGTTTGATGTGTCTTGATACTTGAAGAGGTCAGAGGACAATTCTCAGAGGATTTCTTTCACCTCACTTGTTTCTGCCACTGTGCAACATACTACATGGTAGCTGGACTTTGAGCTTCTAGCCAATTCTCTGGCCTCCTTCTGTCTTATACAGTGCTGGGATTACATATGCAAGAGGATAAGGCTTTTTACATAGGTTGCAAGGATGGGGATGAATTTATTCAGGCACATGCCATAGGAACTTTTATTCACCAATTCTCTTAAGTATTTTGTAATCTTAAAGTCTTAATTAAATTCTAGGATTTGATTTTTTAAATCCTTTTATGGGCCATTATAGCCAAATAGTAAATAGATTGATTTGGTATTAGAAAGTAAATGATACTGATTTTATAGATATACAGAATTATTTGATGTTTAAAAAAATTTTTTTTCAGTTCATCCAGAGCAGCTTCCTCCGAGGCCATGGATTACATTAAAAGAACGAGACCAAATTCTGCCATCAGGTAGGCTTTCCCATCTTTGGTTTTGAAAATAAATATTTATTTGAGATTTGTGATTAATAGACTTTCATTTTATGCACCAGGGTGTAGATAGGTTTCAAAGTATTGATAGACTTTAAAAAAACAACACTAAGATAGTCTTATTGTACAAGTTAAACATCTTTTATTTTACATTGGTGCACTGGGCTAGAAAATTATTCCTTGTGCTGCAGCTTCTGAGAGGCCTTAGACAATTTAAGAAAAATGAACAATAATGAACTTCTGAAAAAATTTGAATTTCTTATTTTATCTTTCTTGAAATGAATACTGTTGATACTTAAATGTTTGTTAGCTTAGTGGAAATGTCAAGATTGAAATTTAAACCATTATGTTTTTGTACAGACCAGTAGTGACTTAATATTTTTTGTAGGACTTTTTACTGTATGTTAAAGGTTTGGAAATTGTACTTAAAATAAGCTGTGAAGGGACTAGAGAGAACATCAGTAGTGTTCGGAGTATTGCTGGTCTTGAAGAATACCTGGGTTCAATTTCTGGAGTCTACAGGGCATCTCACAACCGTCTATATTTCCAGTTCCAGGATATCTCGTTCTCCCTTCTGTCTCCTCACGTACCAAGGTTGCATGTGAATCACATATGTACAGGAACTCATGCATACACATAAAATATTTTTTAATATTGTGAATTATTGTTTATTAAAAGGTTTAAAATACTTTAGTATTATGTGGAATGTGTAACTTCTTCATGGCTCTCTTTGTATTTTTTTTGTTTTTTTTTTTTACGAGACAGGGTTTCTCTGTATTGTTTTGGAGGCTATCGGTCCAGCCTGGCCTCGAACTCACAGATCCGCCTGCCTCTGCCTCCCGAGTGCTGGGATTAAAGGCATGCACCACCACTGCCTGGCTTCTCTTTGTATTTCAATGATGCTGAAAAATAATTCTGTGCAGTACAGTTTGTGTTATAGTCACCACACTGTAGAAAAACAACATCAATCTGTTAGTAGTCATTGTTTCAAAATTACCACAAATGACACTTTGTTTTAGCATGATACATATTAAATGATCTGAGTAAAAGAAACACTTACATTTTCTAGAATGTCTTGGATTAGGTGGATTTATTTTATAATTGAATTTCTCTAGTGTGACTTTTGTCCTTCCTACTCTAAAGACAGCATTTCTTTATGGAAGTCTCCCTTGGTTAGATTTTCATCTTGTGTTAAGTGAAGTTAAACCAAATGCTGAAATACAAATACTTCATTCTTTGTCTTTTATTTAAGAAGAAAACATTCACAAAGGACATCATATAGAAGGGTAGGGAGCTATGTAGGAGGAAGAAGAGAACCTCACAGAAGAGGATGCAGTGCAGGGTGGGGGCAGTCAAATGTGGGGTGAATATGAACAAAATATCTGATGTATGAAACCCATTATTTTGTATGATGAGCACATACTATTTAAAAAATAAAATGAGTTTTATATATTAAGAATGAGCATAATTTTTGAGCTCTTTAATGAACTTAATTTAGAAGAAAAGCTTCTATTGCACAGCTATATTTTTAGTACAAACAAAGACAATACATAGAGCTAAATATTAACTAGTTAGTAAATTCTTACAGTAATGTATTCATAGGGCTAGCTGTGATGAAAAACTAGTAAAGATTGTTCTTAGTGTGTGTTGTTGGTATTGCTTGAGTAGATTCTAAGTATCAACATTGAAAAATACCCTTTTCTTCTGCTGAATAGAGAGATGTGTATAATAACTCAGGGTAGTTAAAAGCGATTTACAATCACAGAGTTATAATCATTAACTGTAGTAATCAAGACCAGTTAGTAAAAAATCTTACAGATAGAAATGGAGTATAGGAGCCGGGCATTTCGGGAGGCAGAGGCAGATGGATCTCTGTGAGTTTGAGGCCAGCCTCGTCTACAGAGCGAGATCCAGGATAGGCTCCAAAACAATACAGAGAAACCCTGTCTCGAAAAATCAACAAGAAAAAAAGAAAGAAATGAAATATAAATTGTAATAGCTTAATTAATTTTCACTTCCATTTAAAACTTGTAAACATGGCATTGATACAGGATTTAGTGTTTGTTAGATAAAGTATAACTGGTAGACTTATCTAGGAAAATCTTATTTCATAAAGTCTTGGATATGAACAAAGTCAGTAACAATCTGCCTTATTTCTTTTACACTTCAAAATGGTATTCCAAATCTGGAGAGGCAGAATATGGTAAACTCAGAGTGCTTCACTTCATAATGTAGTGGCTTAGGAATGATTCTGGGTCATTTCCAAAGTAAATACAGAGGATATAAATAACTCCAACCGAAACTTGGCCTTCAGTATAAAGAGTGGCCATGACCCAGATACTTTACTGCCTTTCCTACTATTGAAACTGTATCCAACTTCAGCAGATGTTACTTCATCTTGAATTTCTTACAAATTTATTAAATAGGTGGTTTTCAACCATGTAGGTTTACCAAGTGCTTTCCATTTTGAAAATATGCATCCAAGAATCTCAAGCTCTGACTTAGTAAAGAGTTCTAAACTTAGTATCAGTTTTTGTTGATGATGATTTTTTTTTACCTCTACAAAGTAATTCTAATGGGTACCCAAGATGGGGAATTATTGAGGAAAATTAGGCCTTTTATAGTTTAATATGCATGTTAATTTGAGTCAATTCAGGAGTTTGTTAAATTTAGTTCCTGTTCTGTTTCACAGATATTTAGTGGCCAGAAATTGTGGGTTTCTAAGCATCCAGGTGATCATTGATGCTGCTGGACCTTAGAGCATACTTTGGAGTAGTGAGGGCATCTAGACTATTATTTTGCTTATAGTTTTTTTTTATAAGTTAGTCAGAATCTTACAAAATGATAATTTTATTTCAGAAATGAACATTACATTGGCAAAAATGATTCTCTTTTTTTTTTTTGTCTCAGATTAGTGGAAGTAATAATAGAGCCCCAGAATATTAACTGTCAGTATTTTGATAAGAAGTAATGAAATTAGAAACCTTTAAATGTAAGAAATGAAAGTTTGCTTTTGTTTTAATTAAACTAAATTCTTTTCTCAGTAAATCACATGCAAACAATACTCTGATTTTCAAATTTTGAATTTATTAAATTTTCTTCAAATTTTGAATCTGGACATTTAAATCCAGACTATTAAATAAACTTTGGTTTAATGTACTTCAGTGAAATCATCAGGTAACACTTTAAGTGAAATAGTCTTTAACTTAAAAGATGAATGTTTAAGGCACCTCTGAGAAATACTACATTCCAAGTGAAACAAACAAAACTACTTTATCAGAATTTACTTTGGGCATTTTGCCATAATGATATGTGAACTGTATTTGTGTGCTTATGCAGGTATATTCTTGATACTTATTAACAGAAAGTTGCCTAATTTCCTCCTGTTGTCTTTTTCTTTTTCTGCTTCTTAGCATCATTCACGGTTATGTGTTACAATGTGTTATGTGATAAATACGCTACCCGGCAGCTATATGGCTATTGCCCGTCCTGGGCATTAAACTGGGAATACAGAAAAAAGGGAATTATGGAAGAAATTGTTAACTGGGACGCAGATATCATTAGTCTTCAGGTAACTCTATAGAAATTAAATTGTGTTTACATTCTCTGGGAGATAGCCTGTGTTCAAAGCAAAACTCAAAACGAATAATTCCTTTCCTTTAACAAAAAATAATGATAATTTTAATAAAAATTAAAGAGAGATTTCCACAGTGTAACTATATTGCCGACGAGGACACACATGCACATTTACTATTTTCCGAAATTAATCTTGCGTATTACCCATCCTAACAAGTTCCCCATGAACAATTTGTTGGAATTACTGATAGAGAAAAATCCAAAAAGATTACTAGTCTTTCAGGAATATAAATTTTATTTAGAGTTGAAGTCAGAAAAAAGCTTTCCCAAAGATGTTCCTTAAAGTTAAACATTTAAAAAAAATTGAACAATGAATCATAAATTTTTCTTACTTTATATATAAACTACTTTTAAAATTTAGACTTCCCTAATTTTCTTTTTTGTTCAGTACATTTATGCAGATCTATATTAATACATTTTTATATCTATTTGATTTCTCAAAAATAATTTAAAAATCTCTTTCAATTCCTATAAGGACTTGTTAAGGGCTCAGATCTCTTCGTAGGTGGACCATTTTGAAGATGGACCCAGTTGTACAAATTATATAGCCTTGAATTGGAGAGGAAGACTTTAAAGTCTACTACTTAATAACACTATACTTAATTGACTTTAACTGAAGAAGAAACATATATTATTTTGAAATTTAAAATCCTTTTCAACAATTTAGTTAATAATTAGCCCAAAATATTTGAGTAGATTTTTAGTAATTTTATTAATTTCAAAGCATAGTAAATGTTCTGGAATTTTGAAATTGACAAATAACTACATTTATTAAATATGGTACTGTGTGGAATGGCTAAGTCAAGCTTGTTCATTGCCACCACCTCAAATAGTTGCCATTTCCTAAAGATGTTTTAAAATTATTGTGCTACTTTACACATTTTCACTATATCCTGGGAAGACAACTGATGACTTGCTTTTGTTTTTGTTTTATTTTACATACATAGTAGGCCCTAGTCATGGATACATAGTGAGACCTTTTCTCAAAAAAGATAAACAAGGAAACAATTTTTGAAAATGAAAGTTTGGTAGTTTTCTTTCTTTTGTGTTTTATATTACCTGAAACATAAATAAAAAAATCTTTAAAGATTAAATGTCCTTATTAAATAGTAAGGACATTAATCTCTTTTCTCTTTATATGAATTATTTAATATTTACTACCAAGTAACCTATCATATAAGCTTTGTTTAATTGCTAGTCCTGAAGTGTACTATATTGGAGTGAAGTCTAATTTAGAAGTCAGAAGAGCTGAAATATAATCCTACCGCTGTTGTTAACTAGTACTGTGAACATGAGAAAGTCATGTCATCTTTCTTGTGCCTTCATGTTTAAAATCCTGCACATGTCATACCACATGCTAATGACACAATAAGATAGCTGCATGATATGTTACATGAAGTGCTTTTTCTTAATCACCCCTTATTCATGCAGAACACGTTTGGTCTTAATAACTCTGTCATGTATATAATAATTTTCTTTCATCTTAGGAAGTGGAAACAGAGCAATACTTTACTCTATTTCTGCCAGCATTAAAGGATCGTGGATATGATGGATTTTTTTCTCCAAAGTCACGTGCCAAAATTATGTCTGAGCAGGAAAGAAAACATGTGGATGGTTGTGCAATATTCTTCAAAACGGAAAAGTAAGTCAGGAAAACAAAGTACAGTGACATAAACTTAATGACTTTAAACTTTCCCACATTTATAGTAGTTTTTAGTATGGCTCTAAAAAGGTAAAGTGAGAAATTACAAGTGTTATAGATATTAAGACTTTCTTAGGAGTTATACTGAAAATGAAAACATTTATTGTATCTTTTTATTTTTTTAGCAGATTACTCTAAAAATTTAAGACAGATTCCAAGATACAATTTAAAATATTTCCACAAATTAAAATATTAGTTGTATGTAAAGTGGAATTAGTACCTTCTAAAAACAATAAGTGATGTAGATTTCATTCGTATGATGAACCTTTTTATTATTTTCTTTTTTTTTTTTTTTTTTTTTTTTTTGGTTTTTCGAGACAGGGTTTCTCTGTGGCTTTGGAGGCTGTCCTGGAACTCCCTTGGTAGTCTAGGCTGGTCTCGAACTCACAGAGATCCGCCTGCCTCTGCCTCCCGAGTGCTGGGATTAAAGGCCACCAACGCCCGGCCTTTATTATTTTCCACTAATACTTCAAACATCTATTTAATAATATATTTACTAAATGCTTATTTAACCTTTTTGTGATAAGTCTGTGCTAAGAATAATTACTTACGTCACTAGAACTTAAGATACAGTAGTAAAAGATAGGAATGTAGAATATCAAATGTAATATGATTTCTTATATATATGAAAGCTATAGTTACATGGATAAGGAGAGAAGAGAAGCGAAGTGTAGGACTTAGGGAAATGGGGACTAACACCAGTTAGTAAAAAGGAAAGTGTGTGGAAGTTAGATAGATTGAATTCCATAGTTAATACTTTGACTTGATTCATTGACAGTTACCTATATACAAGATAGCTGTATACATGTTTATGCCTGTTTCCTAGTATTTCCCTGCTTAATCTCCATTATGACAAAATCAGGCAGGTTTTTTTCCAGAAAGTATATGTTTCCATCATATATGCTGTTTTATGTGAACAAAATCAATGAACTTGAAAGACATTTGGACCACTTATCATTTGTATGTACCCAATTTCTTGTCTTTTCCATGAATTTTTAATAAACATGATGTCATTTTAGATGAGTGTAGAACTATATTTAATGCCAGAATATAGGCAGTTCTTTATTATTTTTTGCAAATTGTATTTTACTAGATATAAATCCTTTTCTGATTATTTATATGTATTGTCTTGTTTAAATTTTAAAGTGAGTCAGGTGGGTAGGTAACCATTTTCTCATTTTTATTTTAATAGATAATGGAATCAAGACACAGGCAGACAGGTTTCATGAATAATGCTACATGAGGTGTTGCCCTTTATAGTTCACACCATCAACTTCTATAACAGTTCATTATTTAGGCTTTTTGTTTCAGTCTCCACTCCCATCCCCAGGAGGGTGAGGCCTCCATGGTAGATCTTCAGAGTCTGTCATTTCATCCAGGACAGGGCCTAGGCCCTCCCCCAAGAGTCCAAGTTGAGAGAGCATCCCTCATTGTGGGATGGGCAGCCAAAGTCCATTTGTATGCCAGGGATAAATACTACCCAAGGCCCCATGGATTACCTAGGCCTCCTCACTGACAACCACATTCAGGAGGTCTGGGTCAGTCCCATGCTTTTCTCACAGTCATCAATCTGGGGTCCAAGAGCTCCCCCTTGTTCAGGTCAACTGTTCTCTGGGTTAAACCAGCCCAGTCTTAACTCCTTTGCTCATCAGTCTTCCCTCTCTGTCACTGGATTCCAGGAGTTCAGTTCAGTGTTTAGCTGTGGGTGTCTGCTTCTGCTTCTGTCAGTTTCTGGATGAAGGTTCTGTTTCCCAGACTCACTGGCAGTGAGATGCCCCAGTATTTTTATTATTAAAATTTACATCATTTCCTCCAACTCCTCCTATGTCTTCCCCCTTCCCTAGTCTTCTCAAACTTCTCGCCTCTTTTTCTTTTTTACTATTAAATATGTGTGCATATGTGTACACATGTAGGCACATAAGTATTTAAATATAACCTGCTGAGTCTGTTCAGTGTTGATTATATATGTATGACCTCAGGACTGACCATTTGTTATAAGATAACCATTTAGGGGGCTCATCCTTGGGGAATACTGTTTCGCCTGCTCTTATTATCTCTTAATTGACTGTAGTTGTTTGTCTGGGGCAGGTGAGGATTCAGGGACCTTGCTTTTCTTCCTCCTTCATGGAAGAGGTGTACTAGTGCAAAGGCTAGGAAATCGTGACTTTACTATTTAATTTGGCTATATAATATTGAGTAATTTATTCGTCCTTTCAGATCTCTTACCTTGTAAGAAACATTTTTATGTTTACAAAATGAACAAAGTAAAAGTTGTAGTAATATATTGTTTGTAATCTAATAAATAAAGCTTATCCAAAGATCAGAATGCAGTTAAGACCTAAGCCACTAGTTAGCCAGTTAGCTATAGAGAATGGGCAGTGGTGGTCACACCTTTAATCCCAACATTCAGGAAACAAAGGTAGATGGGTCTCTGAGTTCAAGGCCACCTTGGGCTTATGTTGAGAGTGAATCAATCTAAAAGAGAAACCGAGCTCACGCCTTAAATCCAAGCACTAGAGAGGAATATAAGGTGGGAGGAGACGAGAGAAATGCAGTCTAGGAGTCTTAAGGATTGATAGAGACAGGCTCACCCTTTTAGTCTGATGTAGAGATAGGAATAGTGACTGGCTGTTTTGGCTTTTCATCTTCAGCTTGAATCCCAGTATCTGTCTCTGGACTTTGTTGTCCTTGCTACAAAAAGTAATAGTTGCAGAAGAGTATTTTGACTCCATATGCATTTTCAATGTAGATGGTAATTTTTATCAAAATACTTAACCCATATAATAAAAGTATGAAGTATTTTTGTTAGAAAGTAGGACACAGATTATAGACATGTAGAGAATCAGAATACAATGAAATAGTCTAGTGATTTCTTTTTAAGATGGAAGGTGGTTGCTGACTATTGAGCCACTGTAATCCCACCTAGTTTTAATTTGTCAAAGCTTATTGGGACCTTAAGATTTGACAATACCTTTTAGGCCTCATCAAAGAAACATCATTTGTTTTTAATAAAGATAACATAAAATCAAATTTTGATTGATCACATGCCAGAAATGAGTTTTGCTTTTTTATGTCAAATGGGACCTATAGTAGGAAAACATGTTATAAATGGTGTGTGTGTGTGCGTGTGGGTGTGGGTGTGTAGAACTGTATTAAGTACAGATTTGATATGGGATAATGCTCTTGTTCATTGTAAAGATTTGTCACTCATATTGGTTTAATAAAATGCTGATTGGCCAGTAGCCAGGCAGAAGAATTCTAGAAAGAGGAAAGGCAGAGACACAGTCGACCTTGGCATGGAGTAGTTAATTTTCTATTTACTTATTAGCTTAGGTTGCAAAATATTCAGTAACTTCTCAGTAAAATCCTGGAAGATGTATGTCTCGGTGTTTGCTGGTTTGCTCGTTAGCTTTAAGTTACAATAAAATGTTAATTCTGTGTAATCAGGAACAAATTCATCCGTTTCAATGTGTAAGACAACTCTCTCTGTATATTGAGGGTCAGTAACTGTATTGAAATGTCCTGTAAAGTCCATTAGTACTGTGAGATTTTTTTTTTTTTTGTCGAGACAGTGTAGGAGAGGGCTAGAGTGGTGGAGGAGGGAGAGGAAGGAAAGCATCGGTGGGAAAGCAGCTTGGTGCTATAAGACATTTTACTGTTACCACATTTTTTAAAGAACAATGCTTCAAGGAAATTTTTCTGTGAGCACTGGTAATATATGTCAAATTCAGTTCAAAGGCAAAATTTTTCCAAATGAGCTAACCTCTAGATTTTATCTAGGAAAGGCCAGGTACTTGCATTTTCTTTTTGTATTAAATACAGTTTTGTTCTTTGAAAAAGAAAAGGCATTTAGAAGTTGTAGTGCCACTCCAAACTGTTACACATTTTTAAAGTATTTTCATTGGCCTCTGGGTTATTGATTACTTTGATTGTATCTATTAGTCTGTGATTTTAATTTTTTGAAACGAGGCCTTGATCTCTGGCCTCCAGTGCTAATTTGCCACCAATTAAATTTGGGGCTGGAGAGGCTCTTATGAGTGCCTCTCTCTGAGAGGTCCTGGTTTGTTTCCTAGTTCCCATGTTAAACAGCTCACAACCACCAGTTCCAGAGGATTGATGCCCTCTGACCTCTACAGACACTGTGCACTGGCACATATAAACTCACATAGGACACACATGTACACATAAAAACAATACATGTTTAGACTATTGTAAAGTTGATGTAAAATGGCTTCATGCCAAAGTTCTACTTTTCAAATGTAAGTTAATAAAAGCTGTTTATCTACTATCCAAGGTTTATTATGTGGCTTAAATTGATAAAGAGTGTAGAAGGGTCTTCAAGAGTTCTCAACATGCAGGAGGCAGAGACTGGTAAATTTCTGTTAGTTTGAGACCAGCCTGGTCTACATAGTAAGTTCCAGGCAAGGCTACAAAGAGAGAACCTATCTCAAAAACACACACACAAAAAAGAAAAGCATTAAAAGCTATACAAACACAGAATGGTATTTGCCTATTTTTCTTCCATATTTATTTCTAGTCTAGTTTGCATTTATTAAGTTAGTTTTCTTACATGCTAATGATTGATGAGACTCATGGTCATCTTTTATATATTTACAGTGAAATAGTGCAGAAAGGAAGATATTAACTTTTGATACCATACTTTGCTTCTCCCCTTTCTCCTCCTCCTCATCTTTTGCATGAGGGTGGTTGATGTCAATACATGTACCAATGACCTATGTGTAGAAGGCAGGAGGCAGCTTGCAGGAGGGAGTACATTCTCTCCTTCTTCTATGGTGTGGATTATCAGGCCTTTACCACACAGAGCCATCTCCCTGGTTCATACTGTCTTCTTGATGGTGTTCTATGTTCTTTTTACTTACAAATAAATTTGGGGAAGATTTAAGTCCTATTGTTTTAGTTGCTCGCAGTTGGTGTTCATGTTGTCTCTCTAGCTTTAATGTAACCACACAGCAACTAGCACAATCCTTTTAGACTTCATACTGCTGAGAAATTGTTACTTGTTTGAAGACTTGTTTTGAACATGTCCTGTATATGAGACAGTCATCGTAATCTTTCTCAGATATATTTTTTAATATTGTTTTGGTTTTTTAGTCATATCATTCTTGATTATGTTTCTTTTTTTGTACCCATTTGAGCTTTTGCTTAAAATTTTCAACAAGGGAACATACAGAAAAATTCTTATGACATAAAGAATGAAGTTTATAAAGCAGAGTACACCAACCAGAATATAGATACCAAGTGAATTTTAAATACTAAAAAAAATGGCAGGCTTAAGACTTTATACTTTACCAAAAAAATATTAGCTTGAATTAAAACTGGAAAGTAACTATAAAAACAATGCATGTTAGTAAAAAAAAAATTTCCAATAGCATAGAGGAAGAATGCTGTATTTCAAAATGTTTCCTGCATTTCATTCTGCACGACAGGAAGTAAAAGCCCCAGGGAACATACTTGGTATATGGTGCCTGGGAAAGAACATAAGTGATTGTGTTAAGTTAGTGTAAAATATACAAAGATAATGTTAGTTATTTAGAGACTCAGTTTCACTATGTAGCATTGGCTGGCCTGGAACTGACTGTGTAGATCAGGCTAGCTTTGAACTTAGAGATACTAATCTGTCTCTGCCTAGAGCTGGAATTAAAGATGTGTGGCACCACACCTGCCTCTTACTTTTATTGATGTGTGTATATGTTACGTATGTTAAGTGCCCATGGAAGCCAATCCCCTGGAACTAGAGTTAAGTATTGGTTGTATTGTGTCTGATGTGCATATTGGGAACCGAACTCAATTAGCAAGTGCTCTTTACCATTAAACTACTTAGCTGCCCATGTTTATTTAGTGTCCAATACCATTTCATACTCTTGTATTCTTTTTCTTTTTTTGCAAAGCCATTTGCTGTCTTGGGATCTTCCCCTTTTACTTGAAATGCTCATAACTTCATTCTTCATATTGGTAGACTTTTCAGCTGAAGGACTATCTTTTTTACAAGTTCAGGGTGTAAACTGCTTTCTTTAAGGACTTTTGAGTTTGAAATAGGTGACATGATCAGACCCTTAACACTTGACTTATTCTAAGCACATCTGAGATATTCAGAATTGGAACAAGAAGTTGGTGGGAAGAGTATTATTTCATCCAGCATGATATCCTGTGGTATTTGTAAGCTTTTTAGTCAGTATTCTATTAAGGGATGTTTGTGGTTCAATTTTCAAAGCTAGGAAGAATATAAAGCGATATTGTTGTTTTGTTTTGTTTTTTTTCGAGATGGTTTCTCTGTATTGGTTTGGAGCCTGTCCTGACACTCACTCTGTAGACCAGGATGATCTCAGTCACAGAGATCCACCTGCCTCTGCATTTTTGAGTGCTGGGATTAAAGGTGTGCGCCACCAACAACTGGCAAAAGTGATATTGTTATGAAACCATCATCACAGAGAGCCATTTCTTCTAATAACACAATGTATTTTTCTGAACACTTACACATAATTAAAGTCTTTCAGTAAAAAGAAAACTAATAAAAATGTCATAATTTTTAACTGGGAAAAAGGTTATATTTCTGCATTTTTCTTGACAATTTTCTTGACAATTATCTTTATACAGTATTAAAAATCTTGCAAATGAGGCAGATAGACTTTATTCTTTCTCTTTAAGTTGGTGACTCAGTTAAGATTGCGTGCACCTCTAAATGTCAGGCAATCTGAACAATAGCTTAAGTAAATGGATATTCAAAATACATCTAGCAGTCTAGAAATAGAGTCAGCTGCTTCCCCATCTTTTACAAAACATTTGGTTAGTAGTCCTTTAAGTACTAGCTAAAAGGGAAAAAGACATAAAAGGGGATATATATTTTCATCTTTGCTAGATGTAGCCTCCCTAAAGTGTTTATAAAAATCATACTTCTTATTTCCAGAATTATATCACATGACCATTTATAGCTAGAAAACAACAGAGATTATCAAGTGTCTGTACTTTTGTCCAATCCACTTTTAATGTCTCAGCATGACAGTATAACTATAAGTCATCTAAATATGTGTGCTCTTTAGATTTACATTGGTGCAGAAGCATACAGTGGAATTTAACCAGGTAGCAATGGCGAATTCAGATGGATCCGAAGCAATGCTGAACAGAGTGATGACAAAAGATAACATTGGCGTTGCTGTGGTATTAGAGGTTCACAAGGAACTCTTTGGAACAGGTGAGTGCCATTTAAATAGTATTGAACACCATTCCAGATTTCCTTATCTCAAAACAAGAGAAGAGAACCTTACAATTACAAGATTGTTTTCTTGTCTTTTGAGAATTGTTAATGGAGATGGACAAGAAAACAGTGCAAATTTCCTAAGTTATATTTCTTGTGATTTCCTGACATTCTATAGTTTTTATATTTTTATTTACAAGGTAATACCTGTCTTTTTAACATACCATTAATTGAAAAAGATCTTTGAAATGGGGATGTTTTAGTCAGGCGGAATTAGAAGTTACCATAATTTAGTCCTTTCTTGTGAATGTGAACCTTTTGTTTTTAATATGAAGTAGTTGGCTTGTTTTCTTTAATTTCTTTGCTAAATTTCAAGTCTTTTCAGGGTGAGAACAACATCTTTTATCTATGTGGTACTTTCCAGGGTTTTAAGATTATTCATAACTTCCCTGAGAGTATGATATCCATTGTGTGCTTGGCATTATCAAGATCTTTTGTTAACCTCTCTCCTGCCTACCTCAGAGCACTTTATTACTTATTAATGTTTCAGGCAAAAACAAGGTGATCAGACCACATCAGTGCACTTCTCTCTGTGTGCTGCCTGTGAAAGAAAAGGCTGTCTTGAGTAATAGTTTGAATTATTGAGATTATACATATTTTTAAATTTCTTTCTTTTTCTACAGCTCTTCAGTTTATCTGTCATTAAACAAAGTCAGCCTTTAATGTGAGATTTCACGTTTCTTTTTTAGCCTCCAATATTTTTATGTCTTTTTCCATCACTTTCTTCTTCTGGTGTATTTTTTTTCTGCTTTTATAGAAATATCCTCTTTTGAAGTTTTACCCCTTTTTAATTTATAGAAGAGTAATTCTAAGTTATATATTGCATACTTTTACTTCCTAAAATATATCCCTTATCTTTCTAGAAGGGAATTTGGCGAGTAGTTTTTTGGGGACACATTTTTTAACATTTAACATAGTAAACATTCACTCATGGCCATAAATGACACTATATTTAACATAGTAAACATTCACTTATGGCCATAAATGACACTAAAACTTCTAGGAAAAGGAGATAGCTTAGAAAAAAATTGTAAATTATTTCTTCATGTAGCAGGTTACTTTATTAATTTATTTTCTCAATGTTGAAGAAAATTAAATATAATAAGATTGGAAGAAAGAATAATTTTACCTAATTATCAGACTTAGAAATTGGGCCTTTTTCTTTAGAGTTTATATTTCAGTAGAAAAATCTGAGATATTCTTAAGGAAATTTCAGAGAAAACTTAGGTTTGCATGTTAACTGATATTTCAATAGTCCACAGGTATATAAATTTAAAAAGCAAGAAGTTCCTGTGTCAGTCACACTCTAGAAATATCTCCTACTCACTTCTTTTTATGAATCCAAACATCTGGAATATATGCATATAGATTTATGTTAAGTGACATTATACCATTAATACTGAATTTTATGCCTTGACTGTTTTAGGGTCATCTTTCTGCCAGCACCTATTAAGTTTTCTTTTCACAATTTTGTATTTAATATTATTAATTACTATGTCCACCTTTTGAAAAGTACTATGTTGATGTTTTTAGGGGAAAAAAGAATATGTATAGCTGAATTATCTTTTTCCAAATTACTCGAGTATCCAAAACATTAAGTGGCTGACTAGCCTGAGTTCACACAAAGTAATTCATAGTAAAAGCAGGTCAAAGATGAAAGTATCCGAAATTTTGAGAGCACATAATTTTCTGATTTTTGTTTTGAGGGTCGTGGCTGAATTTGTGCACAATATACATGCCTGGTACACATGGAAGCCAGAAGGGGTGTTGGATCTATGGAAGTAGAGTTGGAGGCAGTTGTGAGCAGTCTGATGTCCGTGATAGAAACCAAATTCTGGTCCTCTTCAAGAGCAGCAAGTGCTCTTTACCTCTGAGCCTCCATCTAGTTCCACAGTTTCCATTTTAAAATTAACTCTGTTTGGGATTAGCTGAGGTGGTTGCATGCCTTTAATTAACCCCAGCACTTGGGAGGCAGAGGTAGCCCAATCTCTGAGTTTGAGGCCAGCCTGGTCTACATAGTGAGTTCCAGGACAGCAAGGGCTACAAAAAGAAACCCTGACTTGACTAAGATAAAAAATAAACTTTGAGGATTTAGTTCAGGAGCAAATTTGTTCCCTTATTTCATTTTCTGTAGGTTCATAAAATTTTACTGATTTTTCCTACTGACCTTTCACTATTAAGCTACTGAAATGCAACACAGATAGTGTATTGTGCAGTGGCAAGAAATTAAGTATTGATTAATTTAACTGGAAACATCTCTCACTAGATTGCTATGCTAATTAAATAAAAGGCACTTAAAAGTGCTTGCCTAGTACTGGAGAGGTGGCTTAGCAGTTAAGAGCATGCATTGTTTTTCCAGAGGACTGGGATTTGGTTCCCAACATCTACATTGGGTGGCTCACAACCATCTTTAGTTTCAGATATAAGAGATCAAATGCCCTTGTCCTGGTCTCTACAGGCACTATATTCATGTACCGACCCCATGCTTCGATACACATACACACACATCATTTTAAATGAAAATATGTAGCTTGTTTGCTTTAAGCTAAGAACTCAGCAGATGAAGTACAGTAACCCAAATATTCATTATATTATGAAATAATTTCTAGTATAAACATGTATTATAATTATTGATACTAAATATTTTCAGTTCTGTGAACCATAGAGTCTGTTTGTAAAGTGTAAAACTACCTTAAGCTCATAAAGGTTGTAATAGAAATACATAGTAGACCAGGCTACCATTTGTTAACCTAACCATGATGAATAACTAACACATTGCGATTTCCAGAATTACCCTTTAGCTTCTCAGATAAGTTCAAGATAAAAATCATTATGAATCTATAGAAAAGAGTAAAGAAGTAGCAATGTATCTTTTTCAGAGAACTTGTAAGGTGCTACTCTTTAAGAAACATAAACATAACTTTTTACGTTTTCTTTTTTATGATGTTTAAATTTAGGTATGAAGCCTATTCATGCTGCAGACAAACAGCTGCTTATAGTGGCAAATGCCCACATGCATTGGGACCCAGAGTATTCTGATGTGAAACTTATTCAGACCATGATGTTTGTCTCAGAGGTTAAAAACATTCTGGAGAAAGCCTCAAGTAGGCCTGGCAGCCCTACCGCAGATCCTAATTCCATCCCGCTGGTGCTATGTGCAGATCTTAACTCATTGCCAGATTCAGGTATTTACAACATCATTTTTTACTTGCTTTCAGTTTTGCTTTTAGTCTTGGTTGAAAGGCTACCTGTCTCCTAACAGGGCTTTCTTTCTCTTCTAAATTAAGGAAGATGTCAGTTGGAATTTGAGGACTGAGGCAGTGACTAATTGAAAAAAATTTAATAAGGAAACAGATTCCAAAGGAGTATTCAGTCTTAAGTAAAACAATGATTGCTTTTGTACTTTACCACTCCTACTCTCCTACTCCTAACTGGGAAAATGGTGGGAACTGTCATCAGAAATTGGAAGTATACAAGAGGGCCAATAATTGAAGTGATGGCTTAGAATTGAATGATTCAATCAGTGCCTGCCAGATTATAATAAGAAGGGAGCTGTGGGAAGATAAATCCCTCTCTCACTCTGCTCTGATCTGCCAGAACTGCCCATTAACCAAGTCCAGATGAAAGTGTAAGGGTAGGCAAGGGTTTGCATCCATACAAGGTCAACCTCCTGAGGCACAGAGTTCATCAGAAAAAGGCACTCTTTAGAGAACATTCATTACTGATAGCTGTCTCACGTAATAGTTCTGGCAAGTTTCTGGTGAGCTTTCTGTACTTATTACTAGAAGTAGTAGTATGTACAAATATTCTAGTAAGATTATGTATTACTCTACTGGACTACTTTCTGTCTTAATTTCATCTTTCTAATACCGAATTCTCCATTTTAGGTCCTGGATTTCAAACTCAACGAGTATAACCCTTATACTATTAGCAAAACATATTCTAAATACTACATACCATTATTATTAATATTTAATCCACATCCCCAGTAGGGATCAAGCCCAGGATTGTTGCATGTTAGGCAAACCTACCACTGAATTATGTCCCCAGATATGATTAGACTAGTCAAAGATAGTCCATCAATAGCGAATATAAAATAACTTAAGGGCCTATACTTGGAATTTGTAAATAGTCACCAACCTTAGAAAATAATCTTGTTCATAATAAATGCTAAAATCTTGTTTTTGATGCTTATGACAGCTGGCATCTTCTTTCCTTCCTCTGTCTCTCCCATCCTCCCATGTGATTATGGGGTGTATGTATACATGGTGGTATGTGTGTACATGTGTGCTCACATGCTCACCAGAAGTCAACTTTGGGTGTTCCTTGGGTGCCATCCACCTTGTTTGTCACATGAGGTCCCTACCAGCCTAGGGATCACTAAGTATACTATGCTGGCTAACCAATGAACCCCTGGGATCTGTCTACCTGTATATCGTGTTGGTATCGCAAGCTCTCTACCACACATGGGTTCCAAAGCTGGGACTCAGGCTCTAATCCCTATATGGCAATAACTTTACTGAGCTGTCTCCCCAGCCCACATCCCTCTTTCTTAGTCTTTTACAAAAATAATTCTTTAAATTCTCTAAAAGTGCAAGTTTTTCTTGTATTATTTCATATGATTTCTTAAAATCATTTATAATAGTTATTAGTATCATTGTTACCATAGCATAGTTCACTGATTCAAATTAGACTGTCGGGATTGGATCCTGGCTTTGTTTCTTAGGTGCTGTACATGTTATTCAATATGGGGAATAAGCATTTTATTGACCTCATTAAATTGTTCGCCTAGCATATCGTAAATGCTAGATAAGTTACATTTCCTTTTGAGTGATTCACAACACTAATACTCACTTTACTTCATGTTTTGCTATCATTCCTAATCACTAGTAGATGAATTTACTATTAATGCTAACTAATAATTAAAAGTTTGCTAATTTGGTAGAAATGTTTTGAAGCTGCTACTCTTTTCAACTGGAACTCACTCTGTAGACCAGGCTGGCCTGGAACTTACAGAGATCCACCTGCCTCTGCCTCGCTGGGGTTAAAGGCGTGTACCACCAACGCCCGGCTTTTAGACACACTAACAATTTTAATCTCTGATATATAATGTTACTTAGACAAAATATTCTTCATAGATGTCAGACTGAGACTCAGTGCTAGCTAAAAATGAGTAATGAGGGGGGGCTAGGAGGACAGGAGAGACAGCTCAGTGGTTAAGAGCACTGACTGTTCTCCCAGAGGGCAGTGATTTGATTCTTAGTACCCACATCGTGACTTAAAACCATCACTAATCTTAATTTCAGGAAACCTGACAGAAACTTTTCTGGCCTGTGGGGGCACCCAGGAATGCATGTGATACACAGACTTGCATGCACAGAAAATAATAATTAAAGATAAATAAATGATGGTACTTCCAAATTAACCCCGAATATTGAATTGTTGAAGATGAAATATCTGGTTGCAAATGATTTTTTTATTCTAAGCATACGTTTTTTATATCCCTAATGTTGTCGATTCATTTCTGTGACTACTGCTAAAGAGGTATGTTTTGGTTTATGGCTGGGCAGAGATACCATGACCATGGCAGCTCTATAAAGTAAAACATTTAATTAGGGTGGCTTTCTTATAGTTTCAGAGGTTCAGTCCATTATCATCCTGGTTGGGGAGCATGACAGCATGCAGGCAGACATGATACTGGCTACATCTTGATATGCAGGCCAGAGGAAATCACTGAAACACTGGGCACTATCCTGAGCATAGGAAACCTCAAGCGCCCCTCCCCCCCCCAATGACATGCTTCCTCCAACAGGGCCATACTCCAACAAAGCCACACCTAATAGTGTCACTGCTTATGAGATTATGGGGGCCAGAAGATACTGGTCTAGAGCAATATAACAAAAACACGGTCAAGACTTTGCTGGTGAATGCTGTCTAGTTCTAGAAGTCATCCGAACCCAAAAACTACTAAGATCGACAGTATTCCTGTATGGTCCTAAAACTTTGTTCTGAAATAGGCAAGTACTTTTCAGTGTGGTTGAATTATATGAAATTGCTAGTGTTTAATTTAAAATAAAAACAAACAAACCAAAAACAGAAAACAAAATAGCAGCAAGAACACTTGTTTTGTTTTGTTTTGTTTTGTTTTGTTTCTGATATAGGATTTCATTATGCAGCTCTGGCTTGCCTGGAGCTTTCTATGTATACCAAGCTGGCCTGGAACTCAGAAATCAATCTGCCTTCCTGCTTCTTAGGTACTCGGGCTTAGTACCTAAGTCCTGCTAAGAGTTTCATAGGACTTAACCAACTCTAAACCTGGTGTGTCTATAGAGTAAGATTTAGTAATACAGCTTTACTAAATATTAAAAGGTAGTGCTTCCTCTTTTCTTTTCTTCTTGTTTTTTTTTTTTTTGCTAGGTGTTGTGGAATATTTAAGCAATGGAGGAGTAGCTGACAACCATAAAGACTTCAAGGAATTAAGGTACAATGAGTGTCTTATGAACTTCAGCTGTAGTGGAAAGAATGGAAGCTCAGAAGGAAGAATAACCCATGGCTTCCAACTTAAGAGCGCCTATGAAAATAACTTGATGCCTTATACCAATTACACCTTTGATTTCAAAGTAAGTAGCAGTCTTTGGGCTGGCATATGAACTATTTCAAATAAAAGCGTGTAAAAAAAAGAAGAGTATAAACCCTTATGATTAAGTGTTTGCAGAACTGGTGAGATTATACTACTGCTCTTTCAGAGAATCTGAGTTTGATTCCCAGCACTTACCTGGTGTCTTTTGAGGGGCCTGAAGCCATCTTCTGACTTCTGTCAGCACCAGACACTCAAATGTTCCACAAACAGACAGACATGCATGCAAAATATCCATACACATGAAATAAAAGAAGAATTATCACTGATTCAAACACACACACACACATACACAATCTCAAATGTCTGGTTTAAAAATACAACTAAAAAGGGAATTTTTATTAGGTTTTGTGGTTATTATTGACATCATTTGAATTCTTTTTGAACTTTCATATTTTACATTTTAGATATTAGTTGTGATAATAGCAATATTTCTAAAATTTTTTGCTGTGTGCCAGTCACTTGGGTGTATATTGATACAGTTAATCTTTACCTGTTTCCATCACCTGTGCTTAGCAAGAATTTAAGCTCGTAATATAGCTAAACTCACCTGGAATGAATTACTATAGTATTCTGTGAAATTTTTCTTTGAATATCTATTTTTCTTATATTTTCCCAAGTTTCTTGTAGGGTTGGAGTTGTAGGTCGTGCTTAATGTTGGTCTTATCCATGTAGTTGTATTAGAATATTCCCACGTCATCCATGGAACAAGTTTTTAAAAGGAAAAGGAAGTCTTAAAAATAAGGGAGCCCAGCCGGGTGGTGGTGGCGCACGCCTTTAATCCCAGCACTCAGGAGGCAGAGGCAGGCGGATCTATGTGAGTTCGAGGCTGGGATGGACCGACAGCCTCCAAAACAATACAGAGAAACCCTGTCTCGTAAAAACCAAAAAAATAAAATAAGGGAGCCTGTTGTTCATGTTCAGGACAAGATACTCCTTGAAAGACAGATGGCCGTGACTCTGGTTACTCTTTTTTTTTCTGATCATTTCATCTACTTGTAGCTCTTTTCTTTACCTCTGTTTGACTCTCTGTCATTTTCAGAATGAATTGTATGTCTTGTTCTATCCTAAATATACACATATAGATGTAAAAAGTTGTTTAGTATATAAAACCTAGAGAAGTTGTAACAAAAGGAAAATTATTAAGTAGGCTTGTTCACATCTTCAATAACTCTTTTACTTTTTTATCTGTTTTCTGTTTAGTTTTTTGAAACAGGTCTCTCTTTGTAGCCCTGGATGACCTGTAGCTCACTGTGTAGACCAGCCTGGCTTTAAACTCATAAAGATCTACCTGCCTTTGCCTCCTGTGTGCTGGGATGAAAGATTAAAGGTGGGCACCTCTGTGCCCAGCTTCATTTCTCAGTTTTGATGTTTGTTTGCTCCTTTCCAAACAAAAGTAGAAGGAAGAAAGACCTGTGTTGATATTTGTCAGCTTCCATAGTTACGAAATGAGAAATAAAACTGCTTGGAAGTTAATGTAGTTTTACCGTTAGATAACTATTCATTGGTAGCTAGTATTGTTTTAAGTAGTCATACATGGTGACTTGCAGTAAAATATTTAAGAACTAACTTCCTGTGGAAAATAAGCCTTGATTTGTAGTGTTTTCTGTGGGTTATGTACTTTTCTAATTTAACTTTATTCACATTGTTGAGAATGGTACTATTAAAATTGTCATTCACCAGTTCTAGCATATTACTGTTTTTGCAGTTGAAAGATAAACATATATACTTAGTGATATGTAGTTTTCTATAGTTTAAATCATATCTTTATAATTATAATGATGTATAAAACATTTGCCAGCATACCCCCAAAAACTGTAAATAAAAGTTCCTCAAAATAAGTGTTCAGTAATTAGATAGCTGTTACTGTTCTCTTGGTCTGTAAGTAAGTTAAGAGAAAATTTTATTACTTTCTGAAAGATTGCTTTTTACTTGTCCATGAAAGTTAAACAAACAAACAAAATTTGTCATATTAGCTTAAGCTATCTACCTTGATCTTCTGAATTGGTCTAAAATCACTTAAAAATGCTTCTTTAGCATATCTTTCGTGCATCCCAGGCATTGTAGCACATACCTGTAATCCCAGCACTTGGTAGGGTGAGGAAGAAGGATCTTGAATTAAGCCTAGCTGGGTTACGTAGCAAGTCCCTGCTACATTAAATGAATGGATAACTGAATTTCACATGTAGGAATATTTCTTTCTACTTGAGTATGAACTCTCTTGATATGTGTAAGCATTAGATTAGGTGAAATCTATGCACAGCTTGGGACAGTAGAGGCACATTAGTTTTGCTATCTGCTAATCAAATCATATGAAATAGATGTCATATATAAAGACGTGTATCTTTATGTATGTGTGTGTTCCTGCTAACTGGTACTTCGCTCTAGTGCCAGGATTTGGAGAAATTAAGTATTTTAAACTAAGCAAATTTGGACAGTTAACTACATAGTAGCTTGAGTGTATGTGTGATTTTATTAAACCAAGAAAATCTGTTTAACTTTTTAGTGTTAGCATTCATGTATAAATGTAAAACTATGATTCAGTATTATGCTGTGTTTCTTTATTGAGCTGCCTTTACTTAATGTAATAATCCATTAAATATTAAAGCCTTGTTTTATCTATAGTCAGATTAACAGGTACAAGGAATACAGGTTACTTAGTTATTTAGCTTTTCCAAATTTAGGCTTGTTCTTTTTACGGAATTTTTCTCTTTTTCTAAACATTTTCCTTCCCCCTCCCCATTATCCCTAATCTCTTTCCAGGGTGTGATTGACTACATTTTCTATTCCAAGACTCATATGAACGTGCTTGGTGTCCTGGGGCCTTTAGATCCTCAATGGCTGGTTGAGAACAACATCACTGGGTGTCCACATCCTCACATCCCTTCAGACCACTTCTCACTGTTAACACAACTTGAACTCCACCCTCCACTCCTGCCTCTTGTCAATGGTGTTCACTTGCCTAACCGGAGGTAGTGGAGTATAGCCCCGCCAAGACGGGGATCTGTTGCTATGGACCTGTACAGTTGTAAATCAAAGTATGTAGGAGTGAAGTATGGCCGTCCTTAAGCTGCTGCTTCAGGTTCCTTTCATTATGTGTTTGCTATAAGACTTTGTATGTTTTTTGTGCATATTGATACCATTTGGCACTAGGGCTGGAACCAAAGTATTACTGTCTGTCTCTATCCAAAAGTTTAATATACTTTAAAATTGAATTTCTTTTCCTCCTATTACATTAGAAAACAGCATTCACAATTGGTAAATCAGTAATTTGAGGTCCAACACCAGTGTTGTTCTCTAAAAACAAATACATTCTTTGGAATTATTTCAGATAAGCCAATCATTTTTCTAAAAAGTGATTTTTACAAACTCCAAATACAAGACTTTGAATAGAATGATGGCATGCCTTATAGGAAAAACTTTGGAGTTTCTGTTTTCCTTCGTAACAAGCTGATTTTTGGCTCCCAAGTCCTTTGCACATTAACAAAGCACTTAAATTTGCTTGATTTGTACATTTAATGTGATATAGTCATTAGCCATAACAAGACAATTTGAGAAATGAAAATAATTGCACAATATGCTCTCAAAAATCAAGCATAGTATGTGACAGTTTGTTGGCCGAATGCTGGTTATTTTGTTTGAGGGATCCCTTCCTTTTTTTTTTTCTTCCCTTTTTTGGTCTGCCTATTAGTTGTAATCTTTTTAGAAATATTAACTCTAAGCCTGTCTCTCCAGTTCATTTTATAAGGAAATAGCAGATATATACTGCCATACATCTTGAAAGTAGAATTTGGTATTTTTAGGATGCCCACAAAATTAGTGTCTGGTATTTTTCATGTTCACTCTTCTTTGCTGTCTGGTTGTATTGGAAAAAGATATGATCCATATCATCTTTACCACTACAGTTTAATGTTTAAAGAAGATTGCTGAATGAAAAGCCCCGGATCAAAATTTCAAAATGGAAAAGCCATATATTACACGTGTTTTCCAAAATAAGTTAAATGGCTGTTTTGTTTGTTTGTTGTTTTGTTTTTTCTTTTTGTTTTGAGGTAACATTAGAGAGGATTTTGAGGAGAGGACAGATTTGGGGAAGTAGTTGAAAACTTTGGATTTTTTTTTTCTGACTCTAGCTGCCAAATGTCCATCATATGCTTTTAATCTTTGTTGCCATATCTGTCTAGATTTGAATTAAGCTACTGGTTTATTCCCACAGTTTAATGCCTCTAGATGTATTGGAAGCCAACCCCCCTTTGTTGCTGGCCCAGAGGGGCCACTTGAAAATCTGACTTGAGAGGCAGAGAGCATAAATGCCATTTTTGTGGGGAGAAAATTAGTTGGCTGCTTGATGTTAATTATGGCACAGTAACATTGGAAAAGGTTGTGTCTGTGTTTTTAAGTTTTTCTTTATTCTGCTTTTTTGCTGCTATAAGAGTTTTCTGAAATTTATATTTTAAACTTTTCATGCACTTTACTGTTTCTAGTATCAAAATGTGATATTTTTAATAAACAAGAAATTTTCCATTATGTGAATGAAATTTTAAAAGAAAATAGCCTATATTTGTGTCTCACTAATATATAAAGTACAAGTCAAATTTAAATTATTTAATTAGTTTTAAACATATACAAATTGTCTCTTCTTTCAAACCTGACATCTTAGGCTGTTTTATTAGTCTTAAATGATACATTTCCTGTGGTTATTTTATACTAATTTCTTCCATAGTTTACTGATCAGGCTACATAAAATAATATTTCCCCAAAGGGTAATTTTAGTGGGATGAGGGGTGGTGGGATGATGTAATATCACACAGGATTGCATCCAGAAGAGCTCTGTAAAGCCTAAACTCCCTTTTAAAAGTGCCTAGTGACGGAGGCGATGTCATCTATTGTAATTGGAATGTCATTGTAGTTCAGCAAAGTTTGATGTAAATAAAATATTCTTTCAAAAATGTCAAAGTACCTGAATAAACAAGTAGAAGAAACCCTTGATGACAGATTTTCCTCAGTGTTCAGGTATCCCTTCTTATATACCTCAAGCATCCAACATCTAGCCATGCAAATTGATTATCTGAAGCATAGTACTGGAAAGTAGAATAGCATGAAAAACTTAATTTTGTGGACATTACCTTTTTTTTTGTAATCTGCTACTGTATGTTTAATTTTAGATCTTTTGTTTTGGGTGGGTTTTCTGCTCTGGAGGTATATGCACTAACAGAACATTCTTCTTTCATAGACGCATGTTAATTAGCCATGTGAGCAATATTTCCTACCATACTTCACTCCCGATATTTTTTGAGATGTTTGTATAAAATGAAATTTAAAGTTCACTTATGATTGTATATGAACCACAGAGGAGCCCATTTATTAATAAAAATCTTTTTTAATAGTTAAATGTAGAGGGGAAAATAAAAAAATTGGGAAACATTGTAAACAGCTTAAGTTTATTTTCTGTATGATCGAGGCACTCTGTTGCAAGAAGGTGTGTAATTGGGTCTCTCTGCTTCCAAATGCACTCTTTCAAACCATTCATTATCCTGTGTATTTTAATGTGGTTTTCGTAAATGTTGGTAGTAGCTCTGTTGAAGTAGGTGATTGTGTTTTGTTTTGGGTGGCACACACCTAGGGCATGGTAACCCAATTTTCATGTGCACGGTTTCCCTTTAGCCTCTTGCCCAAATTTCACACAGTTTCCCCTTTGTTCCCTTTGTAAAAGGAGTGGTATCTTGTTTTGAGCTGCCAGTTCAGATGATCAGAAATGCTGCTGTCCTCAGCATTGTCTTGTTAAATGCATGCCATTTGGAACTTTGGCAGTGAGAAGCCCAAAGGACAGGGTGAATGACATGGTATATATTCAAATGAATTATATGCTCATATACTTTCTAGTTCTCAGAATAAGTTAATAAGCTTTATGCCATTGGGCTGCTGCATATTTTATCTGATGATAAAAGAAAATTTGGGCATTTTTAGATTGTGCTATGTATTTTTTAACTGTTACATATGATTTCTAGTAATTTTCTTAAGAACTGGAGTATTAAGTTTATTAAAACGGTGTTGTTTGAGGCAGGGGAAACTGCACTGTTTGCCATTATAACAGTCATACAAGTGCATGTCAAGTCACCCACTGTCAAGCATCAGTATCCTCCTCATAGCTTTATACACTTTGATGGGGAATATTGCAGCATCCTCAGGACTGACATCTGGAAAAGGCTCAAATCCACTTACTGCTCCTTGCTTGTTGACTTTGTTTTACAATATTGTGCCTGGTGTCAACTCTTAAGCAACAGCACTGCCGCCTAAAAGCAAGCAGAGAACAGAATCCCAGCACCATTCTGTAGGCAACTTTTTAGAATTCAGATACAGTAGATCTGTTCAAGATTTATGATGTTTTATGTAAAAAAATTTTGTACAACATAGCTGAATATTTTTGTTTGATTTATTTGATGTAAGGCGTGTGAACATTCATTTGAATATCACATGTTAAAGTCAGGTATGGCACAATGGGTTCTGAGACCAGCTTTCCCCACCCTCCCATTTGCCTTGTTGGAATCTCTTTATTTTCAAATTACGTTTCTGATATTCATAGGCAGATATTTAATTTTACTAATACGCATCCTGTGTGAATGTATTTTAAAAGCCACTATGTTTTAGTGTTATAGTTTGTAGAAATATGAAATTTACTTATCTTTTTGGGGGTCGTCTTAAAGTCATATATCACTGAGACGAGAGAAAGTTGAAAACTAAGACTAATATCGCTTGAATCTGTGGCAGATTATGTTAAAATTGAGGGTGTGGCATATTAAACCTAGAACATGGACAAAATTGTGCTCCATTTAAAAACTCTGTCTCCTGAGTATGTCTTGTCAATAGGTAAAATTTTAAGTCTGTATTGTATTTCTGAGACATCATAAAAATCACAGCTCCCGCCTGTACACTGAGTAGCAGATAGCAAAGAGAAGGGGGAGTGCACGCATTGAAGGAGCCCGGAGCACAGAGCTTCATTTCTAACAAAGTAGATTTCCTCGTGATAAAAATTGACTTCATTCTCATTGATTTAAATTTTCATCTTTTATAGTTTTAGTTTCTAAAATATTTTTAATAGTTTTGTAAAGCATACTAACTGGTTGGTAGCGTCAGTCACAGAAAACATGAATTGTATTATGGTATTGGTCCTATAGCAAGCAAAATCTTTGTCACATGTTCAGAGTAACCAACATTTTGACTGAAATGTGAGCTGTAATGTGTGTAAGCTTTTTGTTTATCACCATAAAACCCAAAGTAACACCTTTCTAATGTGTTAGAAGATTTCCATTTGGTTTGTGTCATATTTGTGTGACTTTTTGTCTATTAGAAGTAAATAAATTAAGTAGAGAAGTTAGACTTATTTTTCTAAATCAGGAACTTCAACTGAAGTTTTGAGTTTGTAGACAGAAGACAACATTTATGTTTATGATTGCTCTGGATGATTTTAATTCTGTAATTGCACTGCAATTCCCCAATTTAAATTGAAACACAAGTAAATGCTACTACATCTTTAACCTGCTCATTTACCAAAGTTATAGCCTGTCTAAGAACAGGATGTCAAGAGCATCTTTCATACTTGACACCCTTGGGTGTTCTGAGCAAGAGCCGCAGAAAGAGGAGAGTGGGAAGGGAAGAAGAACAAGAAAGGTGGGAACCTGCTGAGCGTGATGATAAGGAAGAACATGTGTGCTTCTTACTTCAGCAAATGCATTCATGGATATGTCTCAGTTAAGGGCCTGTAGGAAGAAACAGCACTTCCTGAAAAGTTTTAATAATTATTTCTTTTGGCATAAGTTTGGTTTAACTTGGTTTATGCTAGACTTGATTTATTCTTGGATCCAAAGGAGAAACTAAAGTACTTTTTAGTAAGATAACTTTTAAAGGATGTGAATTGAGGACATGCCTATTAAATGTTGATTTTTTTTTATGGTACAGCCTATAAAATAAATAACATTGAGCTGAAATTGTAAGTATACCATCAGAAATCATATGCCTCTTGGCATGGTAGCATGTGTATTTGCCTTTCAGAATATTTCAAAAGCTATCATTTGGTACCTCTTACTGGTTATTTTCATTGGCAAGTTCCCTGAGTTTAATTTCCATGTTTATGTATATGTCACTTTTCAAAGCATAGGAGTTATGGTAGCCCTCTTTAAAAAGTGATCCTTTCTTGCTCGTTATTTTAGAGCACTGACATATTTTCTTAGCTGTCAGTTGTTTAGTGTACCACATTTGTTTAATCTGTGTGTAGTTACTTGAACTCAAAATATTGGCTCAGCATTGGTGTGCCAAACAATGGCTTTGCTTCTTATCAGACAGACTTAGTGTCCTGCTACTGTTTCAACCTTAGTGCGGTAAGTGATTCAGTGTGTGGGTTGCTCTTTATTCAGAAACTGCTCTGTCCTTTTTTCTATGCTTAATTTACTAAAAGTATATTCCCTTACCTGTGAAATTCCTGAGCGGTGCTCTGCCGACATTTGAGAGCAAGAGTTTGGATGGCTGTTACTGCACACTGGATCTGGAATTGTTCAGTGTTGAGTGGCAGATCTCTTAAACACCAGCAGCACTGACAAGTGCACTATGGGCATTCATACAGTTGTCCAAATGCAAGCAGTTCTTTCATCAAGGAGAAGCTGAGGTGTCGGGTTAAATAGGAATACTTGGAGTATTTCAAGGACGGCAAATGCTTAACCACGTTGTTTCTGAATTGGAGTAGCGCTTTTTTTTCTTTTTCTTTTTAAAGAGAAAAAAATGTATACATTAAAAAGGCCAGGATATTTGATTATATTCACAAGAGATTAAGTTGTATCTTACTTTCAACTGTATAAGTGCCAAGTAATTTTCTGTGGACTTTCTACCCTTCTACTCGGTTTACCATTTGAGTAGGGAAGGGATTATTTATTTTTATTTCCTGGCATTAAGTTGACTAATTTATTACTTTGCATACACTTGAGTTATTCTGTGGCCTATATAGTGTTTTTGTAACTATTAAATGGTCTAAAAGCAAAGCACATGATCATAAAACTAAACAGGTTGTTTTGATAGTTTCCCCCATGAATACATGGTAATTTCTATTAATATCATTCTAAGCAAATTATACTGTTTTAAGTTGTATATTTATTTTTATCCTAAGAAAAAGCCAAGCACCAACTCATCGTGTTCTGGTAATCATTTACAATCTAAGCTTTTCTCTTTATTTTTTTTATTAGAGAATTTAATGAAGTGCCATGTAATTGTAGGTTATTAGTAATTAATGTTTGATAGACTGTTCTGTGATATTCTAGACGTTTAACTCTTTCTTGTCATCGCTGGAGAAGATGGTTCTACTCTCATTCTCTCTGATAAAATCACCAGCTGCTTTATTTTTCTATTTATTAAACAGTTGATAAGGTCTGGATCTTGACTGAACTGCTCAGCTGAGATGTTTTTCATAGTAGACACTATAGAAGATGTGTGTGAAAAAGGACACAGTTGGGTGGTGGTATTCTTTTTCATTAATGTGAACATTGACTAAACAAAGCAGTCCTGCCTTTTAAATCTTGTGGCAGCTCAGAAGGGAGGTGCTTAAGAACCTTAACTATTATGTCAGATGACAAATATTTTTTTCCATTTCGGAGATTGGGTACTGCTCACACATGATGTATAGGGCTAAATATATGCTTGTTTCCTTGCACCTGTGTACTCTCCCCTTCTCTCCCACTTTTCCTTCCCCTGTAGGCAATAAATGGCCATTTTGCAACTGCATACTTTTGTCTTGGTTTTTGATTATTTGCGAAATGCTAAGTTCCTGCTTTGAGGTGGATACTTCTTTTTAGAGCAAAGTAGGAAACCAAGGTAATTGAGATAATTACAAATTCATACTTGTATTTTTTTGTTTTGCTTTTTTGTTTTTTGTTGAAAATTACACAGATTTCAAATAGAATAGATTTTTTTTTCAAGACAGGGTTTCTCTGTGGCTTTGGAGGCTGTCCTGGAACTCCCTTGGTAGTCCAGGCTGGTCTTGAACTTACAGAGATCCACCTGCCTCTGCCTCCCGAGTGCTGGGATTAAAGGTGTGCGCCACCAACGCCCGGCTAATAGAATAGATTTTGAAGTTACGTGGCCAGAAGAAATCAAAAGGGACTTGTTTCTTCCTAAGTATGTGTAAAATGGTATGTGATGTACAGTTTCTTACCTTAGTGATCATGGATGTTTATGCTGAGATGTATCTTCTCATGCTATGTCCTTGAAGTGCATGGTGAACAGAAGTCTGCTGAACTTAAGGAATGTACTATGAATATGAAGCAACTGCTAGATCTTAGTGTCATTGGTCTGACCTATGTGACAAACATCAGACAAATAAGCTGGGTTAAATAGAACTAAACAAGCTTGATAGGTTAGACCTACCAAGGCCCAGAGTAAATTCACTCAGTATTTATATACTTTTGAGGATAAGTTACCCCAGGAGATAGATGGTAAGCTTCTTGTCCTCCAAGAAATAGTTTCCCAAATACTCTGTTTATGGCACAAGAAGATACTCAAATGTTTTAGTCAGTATAAAAAAAATTTTAAGTCTTAGTGTCTGGGAAAGAAAGGAAGTAGAGGCCATACTGTAAAATAATTACAAATTCAAAGAACTCTGGATATATTCAACTGAAAAATGATTTTCAGGTATATGAGTCAGTTTCAGAGGGGAAATTGAAGTAATCAGCTTAGTACTTACTTGAAAGGACACTTTAGATTATCTTGGAACAGATTGCTGGCATCTAAAGAAATTGCTAGGCTACAGAGCTTAGTGCCTACTTACTTGGCATTTAAAGATTTGTTACAAGCTTGTGATTGACCCTGAGGCTCCTCCCTGAAGCCATTATTTCAGACAGCCTCTAAGAAGTCCTTTATGAAATGGGTCTTGAACATTTCAAAGTGACTGCCTTAAGACGCTCTTAAGACAGGACATTAGAATCGTTCATTGTATATTTGTGCATTTTATTGCCCTGGGCAAAACAGGCTTATTGGTAAAGTCAAGGCAAAAGTCTTCATGAATTAGTTCAATTTGCAAGGGATCCAAACCCAGGTCCTTGTTCTTGTATAGCAAGCACTTTTACAACTAAGACAACATTCTAGCACCTGAACTCTGAGGAACTGGATAAAATGCTCCTTAACATTTGTCTTTAAGAGGAATGGGAAAGAGAATTTACTTGTGGACTCCATATCCATAATACATACCATTCCTCACAGTGTCAATTGCTCTATTCATGTTTGTGTATGCGTCACATTCACTTGCCTCCGTGATGACAGAGTTGGGGTGCTGAAAAGAAACCTTGAGTGGATAACTGCTCACAGCAAAGAAAGAAAAAAGTCACAGATGAATTACTGAGCTAATTATATACAACTGAGGTTTGAACCTACCTGGAACCTTCTAAGGAACCATGTGGAAGGTAACCAGTGCCTCCTGCACTGCATTGGTCAAAGATGGCTTTTATTTTATTTTTTTCTTCTTTGTTTTAAAGTAACCACTGTAGAGTGGTTACAACCAGTGCCTGGCAAAACATGGAGTTAAAGCTTAGCTTACTTTTATGAATGTGTATGCAATTCTGAAGGCCTCAAAGCTCCCTGTGCAAACATTTAAGGCTGTATTGTTTCTTAACAAAATTGGTCCTGAGAATTGTAACATGAAAGTTTAACTTTTATAATTTTGATTGAATAGAAAATTTAAATCTATTTTCTGTTGAAGCAAATTAAGGGAACACTCAGTTACAACAGCAAATGATAAGGTTCTTAATGAAGTCAAGCACAGGCCCACATATTTTAAAGCATTATTTTATATACTGCTATCCCCTATTGGTAATCATGGTAAATATACAGTTTACTGTTAAAGAACTTACACTGTGCCATACATGTTATGCTTAACATATGTTAGCTCATTTGGTTCTCAAAATAACCCAGTTGATCTTCCAGATGAACAGAGTTTTGATCTTAAACATACATGAATGAAAGAAAGACCTCTGAGGCATATCAAGATTTCATATAGTCAAGAGGCCTTCTTATTGGGCCATGGAATCTGCAGAACCTTTGGCATTCGTGGTTCAGCTGCAGTGGCCCAATTCTTTAATATAATGGAGGCTGTCATAATATATTTGATACCCAACATATCAAGTGACTGAGGCAGTGTTGTAGTCTGGATTTTCTTCAAGACTCATTTAATTCTCTCCTCAGGGAATGTAGGAAGTGGTGGCTGTCAGCTCCTTCAGTGAGTTGGGAGAGCTGCCTTGCTCAAAATTGTGACCCACTGTAGAGTGGTTACTTAAAACCAGTGCCTAGTAAAACATGAAGTTAAGGCTTAGCTCACTTTTATGAATGTGTAGGCAATTCTGAAGTCCCCAAAGCTCCCTGTGTAAACATTTAAGGCTGTATTGTTTCGTTAACAAATTTGGTCCTAAGAATTGTAACAGAAGTGTTCTCAATGTCAGTCTCCATCTTGAAAATTGGTTTCCTACAGAATCTATCCCATTGCAAGGCAAAAGAGGTTCCATATCCTAGGTCATTGGATTTTAAGAAGTTATGTAGAAAGCAAGTAAATTTGACATGTAAGTTCTCTGTGTTTTAGTTAGTTGTCAAGTGCCGTGATAAGGCATAATAACCAATGCAAGTTTTAAGAGAATTTAAATGGGGCTCATGGTTCCAGAAGGTTGGAGTCTATGACCATCATGGCAGGGAGCAGGGTAGCAGGCAAAGAAGCACAACACTAGAGCAGTAGCTGAGTGCTTGCATCTGATATTGACATGAGATGGGTTGAGCTAACTAGGAATGGTCTAGGCCTTTGAAACAACAAGGCCACACCTCCTGATCCTTCCCAAATGATTCTACCAACTGTGAACCAAGCATTCAAATATGTGAGCCTATGGGGGTCATTCTCATTAAAACAATACTGTGTCTATATGAATACATCAGTAAAAACATGTTGACCTGCCAAGTGGCAGTGGCACATGCCTTTAATTCCATCACTTGGGAAGCAGAGGCAGGAGGATATTTGTGAGTTCAAGACCAGCCTGGTCTACAAGAGCTAGTTCCAGGACAGCCTCCAAAACCACAGAGAAACCCTGTCTCAAAAAACAAAACAAAAGTTGGCCTTGTTGAAAGGCCAATGTAAACTATAGGAATTTGTGATGTCTCCAGGCAGATAGTCTACACTAAGGGGTTAGTAATTATCACTAAGGATTATGTAATGCATGGAGTCATAAGAGGAAAAGGAAACAATAAATTCAAACAGTGAAAGTAAATTTAGAAGATATCATTTTTAAATATTTATGTGCTTGTATGTTTTGCCTGCCTGTGTGACTGCACTATGTATGTGCAGTGCCCACAGAGGAGGTTGCTGAATTTTCTAGGACTAGAGTTACAGATGTTTGTGAGCCACCATGGGGGTGCGAGGACTTGAACTCAGGTCCTTTGGAAGAGCACTCAGTGCTCTTAACTGCTGAGCCACCTCACCAGGTCCCAATATTACCATTTTGTTTTTGTTTTTCTAATATTACCATTTTTTAAAAGCAATAAACTAGAAATCAGGAAGAGGGTTATCAGATCCAAGAAGCTGAGTTTTCTTAGAACCATGCAGCCAGAACCATGGCAGAACCTTCCCAGAAGAGGCTGTGGGCCAGATGGAGGACTGTCTTTGGGGGTTGAAATCTTATGAGAAGACTCAGAGCTGACTGGGAATGAAAGCTAAGGCACTGAAGAACAAGAAAAATCCCCTAACTTCCCTCCCCTCTAGTTTTCTTCCATGTCTTCCAGTGACTGATCCTAATCAGAAGTTAGCAGTAAAGAAGCATGAAAAAAGTGTCCTTAACCCTTTGAGAAGAAAGGGGTGTGGGGCATTCATGTGAAGGCAAGCAAGCAAGCAAATAATTGTACGCACATGACTGGTTTTACTACTTACCATCCATCCTCACAATCCAATCGTTGAAACCTTAATACAACCATAATTCAGTGCTGCTATGTAATAGGATACAATTATCTTTTGTGTGAACATGCTCCCCCTGCTGATGTACTTAACAGAGCCATCTGTTACTTAATGATGGAGATATTTTCTGAGAAATGTGCCCTTCTGTGAAAATGAATTTGTCATGTAGTAGTTGCACAAGCATAGCTCACAAGGGAATACTGTTGTATGGGGCTGTTTTGTATCAACTCCTGGAGTTGGCCGGAGCCTTGTTCTGCAGTGCATGATTACTTGACGGAAGAGTGTTCTCCAATCCTTCCAGGTGAGCATATAGTTGGTAGTAGCTAAGCAGATTATGACTCCTCAGTAAACTGTTACCTAAGGTTCTCCAGAGTTCCTTTTGCTGTGCTACCCAACACAGTTACACTGGCTAATGCGACAATTATGTACTTGAGTTGATAGTTTTTGACAGGCGAAATACTTAACGACATTAAAGTAGGCCTTGGTGATTTTAAAGAGTACATCAAAGGCACAGACAACAAAATAAAGAGACAAATGTAGTTCTTTCAAACTAAGAAGCTTTGCACAGTAAGGGAAATTAGAGAATAAGGAAACAACAAGCTGTTCAGATGGCTCAGTGGATAAAGGCGCTTGCTGTGTATGCATGTCTAGTAATCTGAATCCCTTCGCCCTCATATAGTTGGAGAGAGAACTGAATCCATTAGCTTGCCCTCTGACCTCCACAGGCACACACACACACACATAATAAAAATTTTTAAAGTTAAGCTACAATGTACAGAGGGGCTGGAGAGATGGCTCAGAGGTT